AATGGTTTCTCATTTTGGAATAGGGTTATTGTAAAAGATTTTATTCAAACTTAACTAGGCTCAAGTTTTGACTATGATTCGAACTATAGTTAAAATAGTTATTTTGAAAAATTTCCGAACCCAATAAATATTAAGTTTAACCCAATTTGTTTAAGTTAAAGTTTGATTGAAGTTTATTCAAGTACAATTGAAATAGCACCTTATGAGCTCAAATTGGTTAAATAATAATAATAATAATAATAATAACAATAACAATAATTTACTATAGAACATGTATATATTTGTCTTCCAAACAAGTAAAAATGTTCACTTCATGAAGTGAACATTTGATCTTGTATATTTTCAACATTGTAATTAGGTATGATGAGTTTTAATTGTTTGCAATTTTTTTTTTAATTGTATTACCACCTATGATATATATATATATTTTTATATATATTAATTTATTACAACTATTATTGAAGAACATTTTAAGTATACGAAAAATATGAACAATATCCTCTCTTAAAGTGGAAAAAAAAAATAGAAGAAAAAATTTGCATTATATTTGTTGTAGGTAGACCATATTAATTTTGTTGTTTTCCGAAAATAAAAACTTTGAAGAAATATGATTGAAGAGTCTATGCTCGAATAGAGCTGAAAAAAAAAAAGAAAATTATTCAACTTGTTCCAACTCATGAATAAAATCAAGATATAAGTAAAAGAAAAATTGTATTTCTTAAATTAGAACATACTCATAACCTTAGAATTGTTGGTGCCACACAATGACAACACTTACTGCAAATTCGAACAAGATAAATAATAAGGGATTTTGAGTTCTTCATTAAGGGTGTCATTTAGCAAGAAATTTGTTGATTCTATTAAAAAATTAATCTAAATTGAAAAAAACTTCACATATGTAGGTCACAAGTGAATTGAGTTGATAAAACAATTCATCTCACTATATTATTATTTTGTCTGTCTTTATTTTCTGACTAACATATCGTGCAAATCACATTTAAATCACGATTCAAATTGTGATATTTTGCAACTTCTAAGGGTGATCATCAATGTACAAGCAAGTAATTAAGAATTTTTATAATCTACTTATCTAAAACTAACCTTCTTAATGTGTATGTTATAATCTTACATATGATGACAAAGAGGTAAAAACAAAAAAAAGACAAAGTCAAGTTCAAGTGAAGGTCCACCGAAGAAGGCAACTAACATGGAGAAAGAATGGCACTACTTCATTATATTCTATAAACTAATACATATTATCAATATATATATATAATATATATATACATTTATTTATAAACAAACATTACAATGTTGGGCGGTTAGAGTACTGATTTTAGTTAATCAACGTAATAATAATAATCCACACAACATATACTACTATTGATTCATAATAAGATATATAATGATATAATTCAAATTTATACATGGTAATTATTGATACAATATATAATACGAGTGATCTAATAACAAAGTATATGCTAACATAATAAAAATACATAGTATGAATCTAACCATACAAGATAATAATTCAGTCATACGCTATAATAATTTCAGTCATATACTATAATAATTTGAGAAGTAATTGTTCGATTTTACCTACCGCCATAATGTTTTGTGTGTATATGAATTCAATGAGACAAATTCCATATAAATACAAACACATGTATTTGTAATAATTTCGTACACAAATAAAGCTATGGAGTAAATTATAGTTTACGACTATCAGTACTATCAAATATGTTCATTTTTATTCATATATTTTCTCTTCTCAAATGAAAATTAAAATAATATATTTTTTTTTGTCATATTAAAATAATATAAAATGTTCTAAGAACCTTTTTTAAACATAAAATATTTAATTTCTATATGAAATATCTAATGATAAGTATGAAAATATACTTCTACATTATGTTAAGCTATCATAATTAGATAGCCTATATTATTACTATTATTAGTATTTTACAATACAATCTTTGTAATTCCTTATAAGAACATATTATTTTTTATCATAAGTAATATTTTTATATAAAAATATATATATATATTTTTTTTCATAAAATATCACATCTAAATCAATACTATTCAAAAAAAAAAAAAAAAAAAAAACCAACTATACATTCACTATTATAGTATTTTTTATTTTTTTTTTATTTTTGTAATGCCTATTAACGGGAGATATTTTATATCATCTCGACACAATATGGAGGAAGTAATTCGTATTTTTATCGTACTTATTTTTTCGCCGGGGCTTTCATGTGTGTGTATATATATGTATATATGTATCTTTGTATAATTAAAATATAGTGAAATGGAAAATAAATGATCTCTCTATAGATTTGTTTTGGCCTTTTGGAGTTTGAATTATTTTTAAATGCTTTAAGAGTTAGATGTGTGTTGGTTTGGAGAAAAATAAATTAATAAAATGGAATGTTTATTGAAAGCTAAAGGTTTATTTAATTTATTTGCACAAATAGTTCGAACAAGATTTTATGGGAACACGTGAAGTTGTTGGCTATTATGAGATTAAACACTTTCATTTCTCTTACAAACATGTCCCATTCACAAACACATGCCATAAAACTTTGTTCCATTTTATTTTATTTTTCCTTTTTTGAGTACAATGCACATTGCATAGACATTTTTATATTGATTCGAATTATATTCATGGTTTTATAGATTTTTTATGACTCGATATAAAGTGTTTTGGGATATTTATATCATAATAATTCAATAGTTTCTTGTATGATTCGATATATTTTGTATCTTAATTCAATATTATATAAGCGTTCAATATACTTACGGATTGATTCAATAGATTTACCCTATTGAATTCAAACGGTTTATACTTGGTTCATCAAATCTTTTATTTTAAGAAAAATAGAAAACACTTCAATCGAAAACATCTCTTTCAAATTGTGTGTTCTTTGGAGTTTGATTTTGTTTTTTCGTTTTAGTTTCGTGAGAGATAAATAATATATTTTTATAGTGAATCTAAAAAATAATAAATAAATAAAAATAAAACCAAACTCTGAAGGAGCATAACTTTATTTATATTGGGAACACAAAATCCAATACTTAATTTTTAATTAAAACATTAAATCTAAAATCAATATTTTTAGTGAAAATACCATGTCGAGTATCATTTAAAATATTACATATAGAATCTATTTTTTATTCAAAATACAAAAGAATACGTGGGATTATTTATTGGCGAACGAAAAGCCAAAATTAATACGAAACAAATAGAAAAGAGAATTTGTAACTTAAGATTGAAATGTGTGGGGATCATCATTTCTATTCAAAAAAAAAACTTTCCCACATTTGATGGTTTGGACAATAATTCCATAGACAAAACTATTGAGCAAATCTTATCATTATGTAAGTGTACACTTGGAAAGGATAGACTCAAAGGACCCAAAGATGGAGAAATACATACAAACAAATAAAAAGCTACAATTGTACATTTTAATTTCATCGAACATAGACACGCGAGAAAGATCCCACAAAGTGTGGCATTAGGGGACATAGAATCGCGACATAAAGTTCAAATCCACGATGAAATAAATACAAATGCCGACATACTCGAGCTGAAGGGTTGCCGCCAACACATCGACAAGTGGATATTATATATATATATATATACATATAATTGTTAAAGATTTTGTTTTTGGAATAAAGAAAATGAAAGTGACATCAAGTCATTGAAGTACTATTGAAGATGATAATGTCTAAATTGATTAAATGGTTTTAAAACAACACAATACTAAAGAGATATATATATATATATATATATGTGTGTGAGAGAGAGAGAGATATGACAACAAAGTAGAAATTCTTGATATGATTTTTGGGCTTGAGACATTTATATCCCTACAAAGTGGAAAGAAAGACATAAGTGTATTGTAGATCTCCATTAATGTAGTGAAAATCAAATGGGAAGATACAAAAATAAATCTTTGTTATATACAATAAGACTTTAATTTAGAAAAAAAATTAAAAATAATAGAAAAATCGATGAATAGTATTAAATTTTTAAAAACATCTGCTTAAGCAAAGCCTAGGTTTTTAGGAATTAATCTTAACAATAGGTTCGGCTTGATTTTTTTCGTTACTCAAACAGTGGTTCGATGATATAATTCGAAAAGCTTTGCTTTGCTTGGAGAAATAAAAGAAATATGTATCTGCATTATTAATTTATTCGTGATACATAATTGTACCAATCCCAAAAATAATAACCCAATACAAGACAGTCTAAGTCAAACAATCCATGGCTCAACGGTTCGTCTGGCCCAATTATTTGACCGGCCCAAGCCCAAGACGGCCCATAAGAGTAATTCCAAGGTAAATATGATTGTTTAGTAGAGAAGATGTTGAGACTTTGGTGGGAAAAGTCCACATAGATATAAGATTATCCAACAGAAAGACTTTATCCATACAAAATATTGACATATAGGAGGATAAAAGTGACATTTCAGAGGCATTGGGTATATCTTTTTACCTTCTCGGGCATAGTATTCAGATTTAATAAAAATGACATTACAGTAATTCCAGAGAGATTTGAACAGACATTTTTCATCATTTTAACGTATTATTTTTCTTTCGAATTTTAGCCTTTTTGCCATATTAATCATTCAAATATTACGAGATAGTTTAGATCCTTTTTTAAGAGGTCAAGAAACCATTCGGACAAATCAATTCCGACTGACATTTCCGAGTAGGCGGTCAACGACGATTTTTTACAACAAAAATAATATATCCACAAATATCTTATCATATATGATATATGTTCCCGAATCCTATTTGTACCAAAAATCGATTTTTTTATATGGATCGATCATTCGTGATTGAGACTTTAGCGACATTTTGAGTTTTTTAAGTGCAATACGAGGGCTTTTTTTAAAAAAAACCACCTATTCTAATACTATTCTAGCCCAAGCACACTTAATTTCGAAATTACAATAAAATCCGATATGTTAGATTGCTATGGATTGTGCCACTTTTTGAGTAAATTAAGCTATGTTCTTTTAGTAATTTTTCGGCCGTATGTCCTACAGGCGCGCTCTATCAACGGTCGAGGTTCAAAAGGCGGTACAAAATTTGATTCTCGTAACATCGTTAGGATATGTAGCAACTACACATTATCAAGATAAAATCGAATGAGGTACAATCTCCAATTTGCGAGCTCAATCCATCATCATATCTCTTCCAGTTTTCAACTTGCTCGGTTTAGCATGGACACAGTCGTGGCGCAAACCCATGGTTTCCACATCCAATTCAAAATGCATTTGGTCGAGCTCCCTCTACACGAGATGTCATGAAAACAACAAATAATATTAATGGAGGATAGAATACATCGATAACTAGCCGACAAGAGGCATAGAGGGACAAATCAATACTACATTTCCAAACTAATCTCATTTCGAAAGCAAAAATACGAAAAAAGAACAACTACTACAACCTCAGATCAACACTTGCAAAACATAATGTGAGAAAGAGAAGGTAAATTTACTACCAGGGCGCTTAATAACGAGCCAAGAAAGACAATTTAGACATCAGAATCAGCAAAACCATCGTGGAACCATATCTATTCGACAAAACCATCCACATGCCTCAGTAAAATAAAAGGACTCACCGAAGGAATCACAAGCTATGCCAAAGGTCTGAATCAAATGATTATGACATACGAGAATCAGCGAAAAATTCAGTTATTACCATCCAGAATGATAAAATGATGCACAAAAGGTACCGTTAGAAATAAAATCATCATTTTCCCCCAAAAATGAGATAATCAAACTCTAAATTTTAGTTTTCGATTGAAACTGATGAAAGAGTGCCCTTTCTTAGGGACTAATTACAATGGCAATGTACTAACTATCTCGATATTCTAAAATCGATAACAAAACAATTTTAAAAAATTTAAGCACGTTGTAAAGCACTATTTCCAACATTCAACTATATACCAGAGAAAAAAATTATAAAAGGCTAGCTTTCCTCTCTTCCCATCGCTCAATTAAACCAAACAAGTCGGAATAAGTGTAATAACAGCATCGAAATGCCGCAATATGTAGCCCTGGCTCTCACCTGTCCACATCAAAAGATTTTTACCAATCAGAAAAGTCAATCCCAAAACTGAATCCAGTGCACATTTCGATTTCTCAATCACTAAAAACCGCACGAAGTCCTCAGATTTCAACTGTATTAAATTCTACACCACTCGCCATCACTATACAAGCCGCAGTAAAATACAATAACCACAAGCATCGCATGTAAGAATATCAGACTAAAGGGAAACAGATATATTCGACCATCTCACAGGAACTAGAATATATATATAAATGTAATAAGATGAGGTAGACTTTACCAGGTAAAATGCCTTCATACCAAATTTGACTCCTACAATTTTCCGGTGGAATGCCAAGTTCCAGAGTTTGAGCCCGTAGCAGGAAGCAGGTCGTTCATTATATCTTCAAATATATTGTCTTGATTAGATATAAAGCTAATGCCATCCGAAATATCCCCGGAAAAGTTTTCATTGTTAAAGTCTCCTCCAATAATCAGATTCGAGGGTGCTGGGCTGCTACAGTTGTCGACTAATCTAGTCTCGATTTCAGAAGCTGGTCCGTTACTGCAGACATAGTTTGAGGGTGCCGAAACACTACTATTCCCTTCTAATCTGCTCGTACAGTTCTGCGCTTGAATATCTAATGGTAGAGACAGGTTTCCATTAGTGTTCGAGAATCTCATCGAATTATTTTGAGGGTTATAACCTTGTACATCGCTCAATAGCATCATACCAACATTCGATGTTGGAAGTGCCGGGCTATTCGATGCATTTGACTCGGTAGAAGGAAGCGTCGAAAAATTAGTTTGAATTGAATCATGGGGTATGGTTCTTCTAATATCAGCGGCTGAGTCGGCGCCAGAACCAGAATTTGGAGGTAATTCCCGACTACTGCTGGATGCGAGCACCCGAATATTTGAGCTTGGATAAGCCAAGCCATTACTTGCGGCGAGCACTCTAGCATCGACATCTGTACCCGAATTACTGACTCTAACTGTGCTCAGAGTGGAAGACACTTTGCTGCTGCCCACAATTTTAGCTCGTCTACGGAAGAATGTGAGAAAAGATGCATCAGAAAGCGGAGAAACTAAGGCTTTGTTCTTTCGCTTTTCTTCTTTCGCACACGCTTTCTCAGAAAAATTAATATACTAAACACATTCATTATTTTTATATTTCCTATACAATTCTCTCACTAAGGATGTCAACGGGGCGGGTTCGGGACGGGTTTTGCAAGCCTCGGGATCCGTCCCGTTATAAAATATTAGGACCCAAGACCCGCCCCGCTTCAACCCGGCCCCAGGACCCGTCTCGCCCCGAAGCCTCCGGGTTCGGGGCCAACCCGACAAACCCATTTTTTTTTAAGAAATAAAATAAAATAAAATATTTTAAAATAATTTAATACTAAAAAAAATATGAACGTCAAAGTACCAAAAAATTATAGTTTTAAAAATAAGAACAATCAAATATTGACGATAGTCCGTAGTAATGGCGGTCAACAGTAATTTCGATTATAAAGAGAATTGTAGGAGAAACAAATGGAAAGATAAATTTGAGTTAGAATTAAGGTTCTATTTTATATTTAAATTTTTTTAAATATAAATAAATTATAATAATTATTAAAATATCCGGATTCAGGTCCGGGGTAGAGCGGGTTTATAGTAAAAACCCGTAACCCGCTCCGAACCAAGCTTTTTAGACCCGAACCCGCCACATTAAAACCGGGTTCGGGGCTAACCTGCCAATTTGACATCCTTATCTATACTTCACGTAAATAAAATTCTCTTTCCAAAAATCTCATAAAACAAACACACCCTAAAGGCAAAAATTGAAGAACAAAGATTTCGCCCGTTTTCATACCTAATTAGCTTTTGATTAGGAGACGAAGCTTTCAACTTGGTCAAACCTATAAAAGAGATAAGACAGTTTAACCGTTAGTTATATTCAAGTCGCAGGTGTAAAAATGATATCATATACACAATAGTCATCATCATACAATGATAGCACACTTAAATAAACTTGTCTTTAATGTCATCATTATACAATAGTCTAAAAATCACATTAGCTCCATTTATGGTTATTTTCTTCTTTCCATCGAAAATAAGCTATTTTCCATTTCTTAGCATTACGGCGAGCAACTTCTATCTCTATTACTCGAGTTCTCACACCTTCCAAAACAAGAGTGACAGCAAGAAGACAAACAAAAAGACAAATTTGAACGGAATAAAATGGCTAAGAAAAGCCCGTAGTCCAAATTAAGAAGAGGAAAGAAGAAAGATTAAGACACGAACAAAATGAATAAAAGTGAAGCAGAAACCATCTATAAATTTCTTTATAAAGTAAAACTATGCTCCCTCCATCCGGGATAATTATGTCAGTTTTCCTTTCCAAGCTATCCGCTAAACCTATGCATAAGTTCATTTATAGTAAAAAATTTATCCAACCATAATTGTATCACCTCTGCTTTAACAAATAATAACAAATTTACGACTTATTTTACTTACCTCACTATTTCTTTAACAACTCCTTAATAAATTCTACCTCTTGATTTACCTTTTACTTCTCTTTTATATTAAAATATCGTTATTGTTTAATCTCTGTGTCCAAACAAAGTAGCATAAATATCCCGGATAGATGGAATATATATATATATATATGGGAGTACGATCACAAACAGCCAAAGGAAACTGCAATTTTACTGGGAAGCCCAACAAAGCTAGAGAAAAAACCCAGCCAAGCATGCTTATCTTTATGATAATGAATTTTTACGATTAGGCTAACAATATACGTATGTTTAGGTTTAGAAAACACACCAGATGATGATGTCTTGTTAATTCGGGTGCGCCTGTGGCCACTCCTCTCGGCTTTAATTGAAGCAATTACAGAATCTGCATACGGCCCCAAACCCTTTCTTCCAATCAACTTAATCCCGATTTTCTCAAGGTAATTCAATCGACCCTCGTCGCCCCCTCTCACCTCTCTCAGATCAAGTGCTTGTTGCTTGCTTAATACCGTATAAATATGAAACTCCAGCTGCTGATTAAAGTGAGACTGAAGCTGCTCGAAAAGCAGCTTATTAGTATATTGCTGATCCGGTTTTTTCCGGTGCCCGCCAAACGTCACTCGTAGAATCGCCATTGAATCAGCATTCTTTCTTCCAAAGAGTACAGCAAAGCCACCGAATTCCAGATCGGGCTGCCTGAACAAATCTGCAAGAATCGAAGCACAAGTGTGTGCGTTTTGAGAGGGGTTTTTCTCGACTTTTAACCTCAAGGACCTAACTTTCGCGTGATGAGCTATGTTTGCGGCTTCTCTAAATCCGCTAAGAAAAGCACCGTGCATTGTTGCAGGATAACGCCTGTTTGTAGCCTCCCCGGCAAAGAAAAGTCTTCCATCTCCAACGTTTTCTGCTAGGATATCATAGTCGTCTCCCGATGCACCAACTGCAACATTGGAGTAAGAACCGCAGCTCAAGGGATCGGTGCCCCATCTTGTACATACAGTTTGGACGGGATCCGGAACTTGAATGCCTTGCGGTTCATAAATATCTGCATAATAGAGTCTAGAAATCACGTTAGATAGCACCAAACATAGGGAGGAATCGTGCTGTTAAATACTTCACGAGAGAATCAATAATCCATTACATCTTAACTTCAATAATAAATCAAATTCGATAAATCAATCCTACTGCTCTAATGCTTCCTCTTACATAAGCTAAAATGATTTACCTTCATCCTTCGGCAAGTTGTAACATAATACATTCTAATTCTTCAGTTTTCGACCATTTCACCTAAAAGCTTAACTTAGTAGGAAAATACATCATTAGTTACACATTATATCCAACTCGTCCCCTCACATTCAAGGTGGATTATCTCACACGAAACTTGCACATGGACAATTTGTCTCCGGCTTTGATACCATATTAAATGATCATTTGACCAAAAAGTTTAAGCTAATAAAGAAACAAGCCGTTAATTACATATTATATAATCTTCAAACAGTTCTTATCATTTTATATCACCATAGATGTAAACGGTACACGGTGCAAGGCTTGTGCCATGCCATGGCGTACGGCACACACTATAACTTTGCATATCCTTATTTAATCATCAAAAAAATAAAAATCATAAATAACCCTAACAATTTATATTAAAACCGTGCCTTGCAACGGACGCCATGTCGACAGCAAGTTAAGAGCAAATGATTGGAAAAACTAACACTAACGGAAGATTGTTCAATAGATTAACTAAATTTCTAAAATAATATCGAGCACACCATTCAGACATTAATGCGCGAAGATTACAATCCTAAATGCATATAATAGAACTCTAAACAATAAATTCAAGTAAAAAACACATCAATTTGCCGAAAATCAAACATTTACCATACAACATACACTTAAAAGGTACAAAAAGCAAAAAAGTCTGACCTCTAAGAATCCGAAGCACCCTTTCCACAGCATCAGTCGGCTCCATAACTTCAAACTTATAAGCAGCTTCTCCTGCCACCAAACCAATCAAAATAGGACCACCAGCTACCGTCGCATAGCTATAAAACAGAAAGAACTCGCCCCGGCGGCTCGGATGATCAGAGAGATGACCAAATGTATCGAGATGGTTCCCCCAAAACGGATAAGGAAAAAGCAATGCCACCTTATTTAACAACCCAAAACCCAACCTCCTTATCGCGTCGAGCTTCCTCTGTGGCAACTCAGGTATAAACTTTATCGAACCATTTTTCAAAACCCCTAAAGGCACAGTGCAAAGCGCCATATCCGCCTCGTAAATTTGGCCCCCGCTAACCGCAACCTTAACCCCATTACTACCGTACCGAATCGCTTGCACCGTTTTCTCGTAATGAATCGGGACCCCCTCCGCCAACGCCTGCACGAGCCGCCCATTTCCACCCGGCAAAAAACAATGATCCCCTCCCATATCGTACGGATCATCCTGATCCCAAAACGCAAGCGAAAGATTCGAAATTAAACCGGCGTTTGCGTATTCCAAATTCGCGAGATGCCAACTAAACATCGCCATTTCCTCATCGCTAAAATCCTCCCTAAAAGTCTCCAATGCCGCGCCGAGAGAAACATCTTGAGAAACCTCGCCCATCGACAGCCTCAGCTTACTCAATTTATCCAAAAGCTGATTAAACGAATTCTCGACCCTTCTATCCAAATCAGGATCGACCGGCGTTCCGTCCACTCTGTACAACGGACACTTATCCCTCACCTTATGAAGCGTAAACGACAATTGCCGCGCTAAAATCCCTAACGGATTACCTAAAGTACCCGTCAACACACTCCCCCCTAAATCAGCTGCCGCAACCATATTACTACCCTCCAATTTCTTCGTGTAAACTCTCCCTCCCGGCCGCTTTCTCCCCTCCAAAACCGTTACTTTAAATCCAAACGCCATTAATTGCCTTGCAGCGCCTAATCCCGCGAGTCCGGCTCCGATTACTATCACATTTAACGGCCGCGGCTCCGGAGAAACCCTCTCTTTTATCGCCGGCGCCACTCCGAAGTTAATGTAACCGTGCGAAACTAAGTATCCGTACGCCGTGTCCAAAAGCTTCCCACAATGCTTCGGCACAATGTCGATAAACATCTCCTTTGTTATATAAATCGATACGTTTTCACGCCACCGTCGAATTATGTGATTCCTAATCAAAATGTAGTTAACCTGTTCAATCCCACCTACTACAGACACTACCCCGTATTCAATCTCCTCCTCCGTTAAGGAATCCGCCGGAAAACCCGCCGTCAATGCGATCAACGCCTCCGACGTCGCCTCCTTATTAATCACAATTATCTCCTCCGACATATCGTCAGCTGCTTTCTTCCCTAAATTACCAGAACTCGAAATAGCAACATGATTTTTAGCCACTAAATTACTTGAATTATCCATTTGTACCTTTGCGGCCACTGCCGGAGTCGCATCGGCGCTCCTCGCCTGACCGAAAGTCGATCCCGCCGGCGAAACCCTAACATCGCCCAATCGATTGACGACGGAAGCTGAGGAGAAATTCCTCGCCGGATTCCTTGGCCGGCCGCATCTCCTCCGTTTAGGGATCGGCGCATAGAAGAAGTGATCGGAAAGTGAATTGGAACTTGAAGTGGGGTTGTTCTCCCCCGAAATGGGGGTTTGAAAAACGGTGCCACTGGAATTTGAGGGCTGGGGTAAATGGATTGTGAACTGGAGAGGATTTTCGGGCTGAATCGTGATGCGGGGATGATGATGATGAGGAGTTTCGTTTGATGAATCCATGGAAGCTTTCAGAACGGAGATCAAGATTGGAAACCCTAACGCCAACGAATTGAAAGAGGCATTTGCTTTGGGAGTGTCGTCTTGCCAATATTTGCATGTTGCCCCTTTCTGTTTCAATATTACATTTTTTATACCAAAAATTATTCTCCATTTGTCTCCTTAAAATGTATGGATGAGTTAGTTATTTTATTATTTGAACTTAAAATTAACATTATTTATTTTATATATATTTAAATAAAAATTCAAATTAATTTTAAACAACTATCAAACAATCTAAATATAGGATTGTATACAAATTTGAATCAAAAGAGGAGTATTTACTATTCTATTTGTGAAAATATCAATTATTCGATTTGATATTCGATTTCGTATTGAATTTTAAAATAATAATCGTGTTTGATTATTCGATTCAATTCGAATATTCCATTCTATTTTTTGAATATAAGTTTAACAATTTATTCAAAAATTTAATTCAAAATTTGATTTGTTTTTGTTTATTCAATCAGGATAATTAATAAAATGCAGGCATCTAGTTTTTTTGTTTTTCAATAAATTTAACTTGATTTATTTATTTACAATTAACAGTAATTATATTATATATTTATATAATAAAATTTTAGAAGTAATATTATAAATAAATTTAATTTGATTTATTTATTTATTTTGGTAAATACACGTATAAATATATATATTATATTTTTATATAAAATTTAAAAATAAAAAATTTATAAAAATTTTATTAAAATATTAATAGAAAATAATAAAATAAAAATAATAAAATTATTGATGAATAAATTTATTTCCTATAAATAAATTTAATTGGCTAAAAACAATAACATAGGTTTTGTTTACACACACTTTTACTCATTTTTGACACTATTCATTTTTCAAAGAAAAATCAAATAAAATACTAAATTTTTATTTTATTTTTCAAACTTCCAAAATTCCAAATATTGAAAATTATAGAAAGAAAGAACATAGAAAATAGGAATATAGCCATCATGTTCGTACCTAGATAGCTCAAAAAATCAATTCTATAACAGTCACCAAAGCCAGCTCATTTTTCTTGAATACATGCATATACAAATAGAATAGGTAAAAAAATAAAATAAAATAAGGAGATTACGAAAACAGTTTTTAAAAGTAGATAGTAAAAAAAAAATGATACTATAATTATCTCGGACGAAAGAAATAAAAATTTCTCATTTTACTTTCTTTAGTTACGGGCTCGAATTCGATAGAATGCCTACCCTCTATAAGAAAAAGGAGGCAAAATTAAACGACGGCAACGAAACTAGGTAATAAAAGTAAAGTATGGTCATGCAAAAATCCCCAAATTGCAAAGACCTCCGAACTCCAACCGAGCATTTAGCAAATTTTTACACCACCTGTTTTGCATCATTCATCAACCATTACTTACCTGGCGAGGATGAGAAGTCGAATCACATGGAAGAGACGAGAACCTCAGGCTCGACAACGGATTCCGCAAGGGAGCCCTTCATCCATCTCTTCAGCATCTCTAAGGCAGCTTTTGGCTGGTCCATCGGGACCATGTGCCCGGCATCGTGCACCTGTTAAAAGTGAAAATTCTATATATAATAATCTTGTGCTATTATTTCTAATTTAGAATGTCTCAAAAACTTTTTGAGGTTGTGTTTTTTTTCACTATTCATGAATTTTCCCTTCATGTGGAGGCTTTTTTGAAATGAAGTGCGTGAAGAAGAAAGGAGATGAGAAAGGACAAAAACCTTCAAGAAACTGAGAGGGCCATGGGATTTCAGCAATCCTGCTTCGGAGCCATTTACTTGGAATGGGACTTCGGAGGCTGATACGAATTCTTTCTGGCCTTTCCACTCCATTGCATCGACCCATCTTGAATTACCTGCACGATGAAATTAGATGAAAATTGTCGAAGAACTTCGGCATATGTAAAATGATACAAGTTCCTATCAGCTTAAACTTTTGGATGAAGCGGCAGTTCAAAAAAGGCCTCTAGGCAAAGAGTTTTTTTTCTTAAGAATTATATTGTCTAGTGGTAAAAGTGCGCTAACCGAGCCAATTGCAGATCAGATCATACTCTCCAGCGTAAACCAGAAGTTTCACTCCATCCTCGAGAAGAGCCGGAATTCCTACTTCAAGATTTCTCATCCAATCCACGAGCATTGCCTGGTAAACAGTGGTGCTGCACGATACAAACTCGATATCTCCTACTCCGAGAGCATCTCGGACTTGCTTCTGATTGAGGAACTTATCCAAGTTTGAGAAGTCATAGCAGAGGCTGCCCACGCACTTCTTTCTAATATCATAGTACTGCAAAGTCGTATATGGAAAACACATTCGCTTACTAAAGAGAGATCCGTAAAAGGATATTCAAGCACAATAGATAAGACACAAAAATATAACGTGCGCTTCTACTATATGCATGAGTTGTGTGTCTTTGGAATTATTTTTTGTCAAACTACATTGTATATCGACCATTTATTAACGATAGTTGTTAAAGATATATAAGCTAAAATTTCAAATTTCGATCCCTAGAAAGTGAAAGACCACTGTTTAACTGTAAATAAGAGGTTCAAGCCACAAAAGGCATGCTAGCAAGGAGTAACTTCTACAGTGTTTGTTTATGAAATTTTGTCAAAAATCTACTGTTCATCAAATTTTTTCTTTCCAAAAATATCAAATCAAACACTTAATTTTCATTTTTTATATTATACTAAAATCAATTTTACATTCAAAACATCACATCAACACTTATTTATATCATATCATACAACTATTCAAATTCAAAATTTTTACTATTCAAATTTCAACTAAAAATGCAAACCCCCAAACAAACACACCCTAGTTAACCACTCTTGAGGAAACAGATTGAATGGGACGTGAAATCTGAAATTTATGGAATATTCCTTTCACCCTTACGAAATGTAGAGATACCAGAAAAGATGCTATCATATTAACTTTCCTAAACATAAGGACCAAATACCCATTCACCATAGAAATTTGACTACATATTTTGCTAATGGCCAAACTGGTTAGGTAGATGATGCTAAGGTAAGGCAGAATGATTGATCCTACGATCAGGAAATAAAGCTAGAATTGTGAGTTAAACTAGGAAAGATATGTTTGCCATTAACTGGGAAGTCATATGTAAATTTCTCACATTAATACCACCCGCGCGGCTAATAATAGAATTGAAGATTGTTTCGCAAACTAAATAGGCCGCCAAGCAAGAGAGAGTTCCGTCAGTGCCTGAAACAAGAGAAACGGATGCTATTTAAGTCATCAAACAGCTTTGGCTAGGCACAGAAATTAATCAATCATGGAAACAAATATGCCGGTAATTAAATTAGTAGTGATGGGGAAGATTATACAACCACAACTAAAATTATATGTTAAAAATATATCAATTAAAAGATGCCCTTGGAGTAGCACATTTAGTAATTGCAGGCATGACATGTAATATTCAATCAAAGATTTCCATGTTAATTGAAATATGAAAATCGGATATTTGAGATGTCAAGTTACCGCAAAGTTTTATAGCTGTTTCACAGAGTGGAAGCGCTTTGTTGACATGCTTATGATCAGCCTCTGTAATTATTCCCATGTCAAGGGCGTAATCAGCATATGCAGCATATTGAATGGCAGGATCTGTTAGCCCGTTTCCAATAGCAAATCCCTGTGGTGTGATTCATGTAAGAAAACCAAACTAAAGCAGAAGAAAAGCCGAACATTATATACACATCGAAAATACCTTTAGATTCACATGAATTCCTTCATTTTCTTTGTTTCCCCGGTGAACACGAGCAGCAAAAGCAGGAATATAGTGTCCAGCATAAGACTCTCCAGTGATGTAAAAATCATTCTTAGCTAGTTTAGGATGCTCCTTGAAGAAAGCCTACACCAAAGGTATTTACCACTGAGGGGCTTGTGTTCACAAACATAAAAATTTCCAAAAATCACAGTAACTTCATTCCATTTTTGAGCAACAATATCACAATAAAAAGGCTATAAGTTCCCTCATAGAAAGGTGAATGAAGTAACAAAACAGACCTGTATGAAATCATATAAATCATCACTGACACCCTTTTCATCATGGCGTATATCACGGCGATCAGAACTATAGCTAAAGCCAGTTCCCACAGGCTGGTCAACAAACAAAATATTTGACACCTGAAAATCATCAAGCAATCAAGACAGTTAGTCACATGCTATCACCAACTGAATTACTGCACTAGCTTCCGAAATTTGGCATGTTAACTCCTTTTGCCACAAGTGAAACAATTGTTGGAAGTCCTCAATATTGATCAATAAAGACTCATCCCCTGCCTATTGCGAATTCAGGGGTAAAAACCATGCAAAAATCGAACCATATAACAAAATAACTAGTTTGTGGTAGAAAATTACAAAAAAAAACTAGGATAGAACAAGCACTGTTTCATAACAGTCAACATTAAACTTCATATTTTTTTCCTCAACAACCCCAACTAGTGTTAACAGAATATATTCATTAAATGAATTACCTGGTCCCAGCCATACTCATTCCGCACAAGAGATAAATTGTCAGCAATAGTGAAAGGTCCATTTTCATAGAAAAGAGCCATCTCACTGCTACAGCCTGGTCCACCAGTCAACCAGATGACAACAGGGTCACTGGTGCTGTAACGGGATTCAAAGAAAAAGTAAAACAACCTGCAACCAAAGGCACAAGTTAAGTTCAAATAGCAATGAGAAAAATGAGGGTGAACATATAGTTTTTTAGCCATTTAAAGAGAGTATTTATTACAGGGATGCATGCAGCCCACATCTAAAACGAACTTCTTAATCACAAGCTAAAAATCAAATTGAAGAAGCGTAGTGCTCTTAATGAGTCAAATTAACCTAAACTGTTCGTGTTTGAGCTCAGATTGTTTGACTCAAGCTTGGCTAATGTACATTAGCAAAAACAAGATAAAAATGTTATCTGAGTTCGATAAGCAATTGCTTAACGGCTATTTTCTAGCTCCGCACAAAGATCAAATCAGCTCATTTCATTTTAGAAAAAAACACAACTAACTAATAGGGTGTCAGTTTAATGGTACTAGAGTCTAATGCAACAAATTAAACATATCTCTACAAGGGAAATGATCAATTTATCCTCATCACAAATACATATAACACTACATAGGTTCACAAATAAGGCTTCGTTTACTTTAAAAATTTTCCAGTTTCTTTACTATGAGTCCTCTCAATTCCCTTTAAAATCATCACATCCAACACACTATTTAAACCAAAATCAAAACCAGGGGAAATAAAAAAAAGTGAACAAACAAAAAGTTTGTGCTCATTTAAGAACATAACTACCAAAACTTCATATTCGAACCTGACTAATTTATTCAAAAAAGCTTGAACAAGCCAAACTGGCCAGATTTTAAAGCTTTAAAGAAGTGTCAAGAGCACACTTAAAACAGTAATTAGATTAGGCCGTAACGAAGTTGCTAGGCCCTAACTGGCATTTAAACCTACGGTTTTCAATGAAAGAATCCTACGACTTATATCTATAAAGTTCTTGGATAAGACTGACCACACTAAATATTAGCCCTCGCCAAAAAAATCAATCAAAGCACGTACTAATATCCCCGAGCAGATATTCTAAATTTGAAGAACTGTTGTATCCGAACTATAACACATTTAAAGCAGAACACAAAGCTACAGGCAGCCATAATAAACGTGATAATTTTGCAAAGGTAGGTCAGCAAGGAGATTCTAATAAGATACAAAAATCAAATCAAGCTGAACCCTAACAAACGCAAATATCCAAAATCCTCGCACTTGCCTACCTAAGACATAGATAACAAACTGGAAATCCATATATGCATATATATATATTGTATTAACAGAGTAAGAAATACACCTAGCTCCATGAGAATGTTGAATTTTGTAGTAACCAGCATGATGACCTAATTCCTCAGCCGTCGGATCAACAAAATTCGGAAACCTAAGCGGCCTCTCCACGATCGCCGGACCGGCGAGAGATGCACTATCATCGTCAACGACATTGACCGGCAGGCTGGGGAACAAATTGAGATCGCGGATGAGCTTCTCGGCTGAGGTGGAGGGGAGGAGAGTGGTCGGCGGGCGGAGCAAAGCGAGGACGGAGGAGATCGGAAGCAGGAAAAGCGCGAGGAAGAGAGCGACGAAACTTCGGGAGAAGGAATCCATTTCTGTACGCTCACTCTAGCTCTGGTTGCTTTCCTCGCCTGCTTTGGTATTCATACGACGAAATTGACAGAAACTTTTATTTTGATTATTCAGATAATTTTCTTTGAAAAAAATAAAAAATAGTTTTATTGAACAAAAAAATAATCAACTTTAATTTTAATATTAAAAAAAATAAAAATTGTTTCACTCTAAATAATTTTAAAATATAATAACATAATAAAATAGAAATGCCTAAAATAAGTAATACAAAATATAATGACATTACAGAGAGTGAAGACATAATTGAATACGGAATTTAAGAAATTTTTATATTATATTGATAGTTAGTAAAAAGTAAGGATAAATTTTTTTTTTTTCTAGTGTAAAAAGTAATAGCACGTAATAATAATGAAAAAAATAGAGATAGTTTTACGCTGATATAATTATTTATGGAAATATAAGTTTTTATATATTTTTTATATTAAGATATTCCTCTCTTCTTAATAGAAGGGTTTCATTTTTCATTTTCGTCTGTCCAAAATAAATGTATTATTTTATAATTTAGTAATTGTTAACTTACCTAATCTAATAAATATTTTTTTAACTTATAATATATTACATAAATATCACCACATTTATATTACACAATTTTTATTATAATCAAATATAATACTAATAATTGAAAATTTACATGTAAAAAATAAATATTATTTTTTAAAATGAGACGGAACGATGGAATATATATATATATATTTTTTTTGATTTTGTGTTTCAATAGGACTAATTTATATTTTTTCTATTGATATATTTTTTATTTTTATTCCTAAGTTTTTATTAAAAAATTGTCACCAACGCCCTATTTGAAAATGCTGTTAGAATTGATTTGTTTAAAAAGTTGTCAACTTTTTTCAAAAAAATCCACCATTTTCAAGAAAAGATCCTAGCTATTTTGATATTTATCTAATTCATGTAACAAGAAAATAGAAATTCGAATTAAAAAAATAAAATATGAGCTGAAAATTTACAAAATAATATATAATAAATTAAATTTTAGTTAATATAATAAAAAAAATAATTATTTAATTTGATTATTTTGATGAGAGAGAGGAATTTTGGAATAGTAAAATTAAAATTAAAATTACACAAGTATTTTTAACTTACAATTTTTTCTAAAAAAAAAATATAGGGTTTGTTTACTTGGCTTCCCGATTAAATTTGACGTTATATTCCCTTTTTTTTTTTTCAAAATATTATTCCCTCCATCCCACGTACCATGTAGACACGGTGTTTTAACAGGGGGTATAATTAGTAGATAATTAATAGTATATTAATCAAAATAATCATTCTATAATATAAATAATTATAAATTAAGATTAAAATAATTAATTAGTTTAATTACAATTAAAAAATAAATTAAAAAGTTTAAAATGAGATTAAAGTGTTTAATTATTTTAAAAAAAAAAAAAGTGACATAGAACGTGGGACAGACAAAAAGGCAACGTCAACATGCTATGCGGAAGTGATAGAGTATTACATCCTATATAATCTACTCAAAATTTATTTAAAATATTTTATTTATATCGCTCTTCTAATAAACAAATATACTTATATATATTCAAAATATTTCATTTAATTATAAATTAATTTATATTACATATAAATAAATATTTATATTTTTTATTTATTTTTATTATATAAAAATTTTATTCAATTATTTACAAAATGATATTTATATTACATATTTTATTAAACTATGCTGCTTTTGTCGATTAAAATTAGTCCACTTAGGTCCTAAAGATTAAGAAAAATGAATATTCCCTCCGTCCCGGCTAAATTGTCTCGTTTAGCTTAGGGGCAGAGTTTTAGGTATTGTATAATTAGTAAGTAATTAAAAAGTATATTAGTAAAAATAATTATGATTTAATATAAAATTATAAATTAAGATTAAGATGACTAAATAGTTTAATTTAAAAATTATAAATTATGAATTTTAAAATGTGATTAAAGTGTATAATTATTATTATTATTATTTTTTTTAAAAAAAAAGACAATTTATGTAAGAAGGATGGAGTATTTTATTGAAAAATTGACCGGTAGTTGAAGGTATTTTTAGGGTGTGTTTGTTTGGGGGTTTGAATTTTGAATTGGGATTTGAATAGTAAAAATTTTGAATTTGAATAGTTGTATGATGTGATATAAATAGGTGGTGATATGATGTTTTGAATGTAAAATTGATTTTTAGTATAATATAAAAAAAAAAAAAATAGGTATTTGATTTGATATTTTTGGGGGGAAAATTTTGGATGAATAGTGAAATTTAATCCAAATCCATCAAACGAACACACCCTTAGAAATTTAGTTAGAAATTAAAGTAAATAAAGAGAATGTAATAAATTTAAATACGTGTTTAATGAAATGTAATAATTATATGTTTAATATATTAATTTTGCTTGGTAATAAGATAAATGTAGCGGACATATTAAAAAGAAAAGTCGGTAACAAATTGGCTGAGGGAGAGAGGAGAGAGTAGTATTTATTAAAATAATTGAATACATTTTTACTTTTTTTTAAATCTTATATATATATATATATATTACACATAAATTACTCTCCGTTCCAGTTGTGGTGTTTCCACGGTAGACACAAAAATTTAGGAGAGATATAATTAATAAATAATTTAGAATGTATTAGTGAAAATAATTATCATATAATAAAAATTATTTTTAATTAAAATTAAGGTAACTAATTAATTTAATTAAAATTTAAAAAATTATAAATTAAAAAAATTAAAATAAGATTAAAATGTAACGGAAATAAAAAAAATTGACACGATAAGTGTATGGGACGAAGAAGTAAATATTAATTATATAAATCATTTTCAACCAATTTCCAACTTAATAATCCATCTAATAACCAAAAACACACATATATAGATGTGTTTGTCTGGGGGATTTTCCCCAAACTTTACTATTTATTCAATTTCCCCCAAAAATATCAAATCAAAAGCTTATTTTTTATTTTTATATTATATTAAAAATTAATTTTACATTCAAAATATCACATTAACATGTATTTATATCAATCATACAACTATTTACATTCAAAATTTTTACTATTCAAATCTCAATTGGACTACCCCTTAACTCCTTACCCGTGATTAGCCCATACTAGTCAAAAGCTGTTCCCAAGCCACTCTTTGACTACTCCTTACCTGTCGGTAGCGGTGTCAATTCGTGATTTTGGGTCGTGTTCGTGTCGGGTTGAGCCATGAGGATAACAAAAAACTGTCAATCCGAACCCGACCTGAACCCGAAATCTAACCTGAAACCCTAAACCCGAACACGACACAAATTCTTTCAAGTCGGGTTCAGGTTGACCTGAATTAGTTCCAGGTCACCTGAAATCCGAACAAACCCGATATTAACCCGACACGAAACAGACCCGGAAATTTAAAAAAAATTAAATTGACCTAAAAAATATCATTTTTATTTTAATTTTTATCTTATTTTATATTAAAAATAATATAAATATTATAAATTAAAATAATAATAATAAAAATTTCAGGTCAACCTGAAACACGAAACCCAAAACCTAACCTTATTTTGATATTTCAGGTTATCAGGTCAACCCGAAACACGACCCGAAAACTACACGAATTTTTTTCGTTTCAGATTCAGATCGACCTGATTTTTTTCAAACCCAAAATACCCAAACCTAAACCTGAAAAATTTCAGGTCGAACGGGTTCGATTTTTCGGGTCGGATTTACTTTTGACACCCCTACCGGTCGGCCTTAAAGGGGACCGCCGATACAAAGATCATGTTTGCATCTACCATTATACCTACAATGATCGGACTTACCGTACATTTTCTCAAAATTTTGAAGCAAAGTAATTTGTGTATCTACCCTAATGATACTATTATTCCGGACCCTTATGTAAGAAGATACGGGTAAGATATGTACTTCGAACTATATGTAATAATATTTCAATCATAATAGTGAACAACCATCCAATTTCAATTATAACAAATCACATAGATCGATAAATAATAGTTATGAGAAGACAAATAAAACAAATTCAAACTATAACACTTAAATAAGACATGAATATATTCAAAACTTTTAAAACTTTGTTAAATATTATTCCCTTCGCCGTCAAAAATTATATTTTGATTGAATATGAATTTTAAAAAAAAATAGATAATAAGGTGTGTTTGTTTGAGAAATTTGGTAAGAAATCCACTATTTATCCAAAAATTTTCTTTCAAAAACATTAAATCAAACACCTATTTTTTTATTTTATTTTCTATATTATTCTAAAAATCTATTTTACACTTAAAACATCTTATCAACACCTATTTATATCACATTATACAACTATTTCAAAAAATTTTATTATTCAAATCCTAACTTAAAATCTAAAACTCCAAACAAACACACCCTATAAATTCTTTTCTTTAGTAAACAAAAAAGTTAAAAAAAAATACTTTTTTTACTTAAAAAAAGAAAAATATTATTGGATGATAATAAAAAAAATGAAAAGAAAATAAGTAAAAATTTGAATAACGGAAAGTATTGAAATAGTCCAATGAAATAATTTCTCAAAATTACTGAAGTAAAATAAAAAAATAAAAAAATAAAAAATTCTACGTTCTTTTTTTAAAAAAATTCAATATATTTTTTAATTAAAAAATATATTATATATTCATTATTTTTATATTATTTGTATAATTTTTTATATTTCAGATATAAAAAAAAATTTCCTTTAAACCAAAATACAAAACAAATTATTAAAATAAAATAATTTTATGAACTTTCATAACTGAAATAAATATTTTGATTTAAAATTAAAAAAAAAAAACTAGGATAATTATTGTAATTTAAAATCAAATTTTTTAAAAAATTATATATATTTTATTTTACAAATATTAGACACGTGGACCTCTGCTTGACACGTGTTGCCTTGACACGCTTCCACTATGCATGCAGTGCCAACGTCTAGCGAGTACAAAAATAAATCATACTCCCTCCGATCCAAATAAGGATCTACGTTAAGTTGGACACGAAATTTTGGGTGAGAAGTATTAAATAAATAATTGGGTAATTAGATGATGCCATAGTGAGAAAAATATATTTTTTTATTTTTTTATTAAGATAATATGATAATATAAAATATGAGAATATAAATTAAGTAATTAATTATTTTTTAATTTAAAGATATTGTAAAATATTTGAAACATATTTAAAAAAAAAATGTTGCACTATATTTAGAATAGAAGGAGTATCTTTTAATAATTATTAATGACATCAATATTCAAAATAATATTAATAAATTAAAATATAAACAAAAAATAGTTCCACCGCCAAATACGCTCTCCTTTAATTTTCTCTCCCCCTCATTTCTTCGTCATGCAGATATCTCACAATGAAGGGCCTATCTCTAACGTATGCCGTCGGCGCACTGATCCTGCTAACATGCGCCTCGGCCGAAGAGGACCCGAAAATCCGCCAAGTCACCGACGGCGGCGGCGTCTTCACGGCGGAGAACCGCGGCCAGAGCCTCCTCGGCACGGCGGCGGAGCTCCGGTTCAAGGCTTTCGTGAGAGAGCACGGGAAGGTGTACTCCACGCGCGAGGAGTACCTGCGCCGCCTCGGGATCTTCGCCGGAAACTTGATTAGGGCGGCGGAGCACCAGGCGGTGGATCCCACCGCCGTCCACGGCGTCACGCAGTTTTCGGATCTGTCGGAGGAGGAGTTCGAGAGGATGTACTTGGGGATGAACGGAGGCGGCGGAGTGGTGGAGAATAGGGCGGCGGAGATGGACGTCGGAGATTTGCCGGCGAGCTTCGATTGGCGGGAAAAAGGCGCCGTTACTGAGGTCAAGATGCAGGTGATCTATATATTATGTAATGAATATGAAATTAAAATTCTCATTTTAAAATCGGACAAATATTTTATATTAAAAATATGATTAGTTTTGTTTATTTAGAATTTATTTAATTTGGATTTGAAGATAGTAAAAAGAGATGATAAAATTTATTTTTTAATATTAAGGAAAAAAAAAATTTCAAATTGGAAATTATCATCTTTTTTTGGATTTTCATTATACATAAAAAAAAAAAAAAATTTCCTTCAAATGAATAATTTTTTTTTTCGTTTTTGTAGTTCTAAAATTTTAATTTTATATTTAAGCTATTAAATTAATACTTATTTATATTATTAAATCAATAATTATTCAAATTTAAAATTCAAACTCCCAATCAAACTAGACATACTATGCGCAACTCTTTTTATTTTTTATGTTTAGATTATGGATTTGTATGTTTAGTATTTTAGTGCAAAGTATTTATTTCAACATAAAATATAAAAAATTGTGTCGATAATATTAGAAATAATAATTTGTATTAAATTGATAATTCTTGTGAAAAAAGAGAGTATATATATATATATATATATGAATGTGTGCCCATATTATATTTTTTCATTGATAAAAAAATTGTGTCACAAATCATTTGTTGGTGAACAAACTCTTAAATAGTTTTTTTACACAAAAAGGGTACGTGCGGATCATGTTGGGCATTTAGCACGACGGGAGCGATCGAAGGGTCGCATTTCATCGCAACGGGGAAGCTTCTAAATCTTAGTGAACAACAGCTCGTCGATTGCGACCACACGGTAATTAAATCATCGGTACTCAAATATCTAAACTGTGAAAGTTTATGTAGGGTGTATTTGTTTAGAGGTTTCAATTTTAATTAAGTTTAGATTTGAATAGTAAAAATTTTGAATTTGAATAGTTGTACGATGTGATATAATTAGGTATTGATATGATGTTTTAAATGTAAAATTGATTTTTAGTATAACATAAAAAATAAAAAAAAATATAGGTATTTGTGATTTGATATTTTTTTTAGAGGAAAAAAATTTGATGAATAATAGAAATTCTTGCAAGTTCGCCAAACGGATACACCCGTAATAACTTGTCGGCGTGCCAAATTCTCAAAATGCACCATGCTTTTATTTATTTATTTATTTATTTGTTTTGCATGTGCTACGAGCAAAAGTGCGACATAAAAGATAGGAAATCTTGCGACGATGGATGCTCGGGTGGCCTAATGACGAATGCATATAACTATTTGATCGAAGCCGGAGGCATCGAGGAAGAGAGTTCATATCCGTATGTTGGTAAGCGCGGCGAATGCAAATTCAATGCCGAGAAAGTGGCGGTCAAAGTAGCCAATTTTACGACCATCCCAAACGATGAAAATCAAATTGCGGCTTATTTAGTCCGTCACGGTCCCCTTGCAGGTACTATATCGTATCAAATTTCCATTTATTGTGTTATTTTTGAATCATTAGATTCTTATTTGATTAAATTCTTGAATTCTTTAGATATTTCAAAATTTTCAACTAAATATGTGGAAACTTCGTTTAGATTGAAGTTTAAAATTTGAAGATTTTTAGAAACAATCAAATTCCGTAGAAGAAAAACATATTTAATTTGATATTTTTTTTAAAAAAAATTACTACTGATGAATAGTGTCAAAAATGACAAACGTATTTATATAAACAAAATCTTCTAATGGCCCACATGATATATGTAGAATTCATGTTGACCCGAAGTATGTTTAAAATTCATCGAAGTCTAATAATAGTGTTAATATTAATTTTACATTATTTTTGTAACAAATTGTTGAACTATTAAAGATCAGAAAAAAATAGAAATGAAATGAAGTTAATTTGTGATTTGTATTTTGTTTTGATGGTATTTTTTATGTGATATTTTGTGAGAAAAAATGATATTATATCTGTTTGTCTCTAAGAGTTATATTTACCTTTTATGTTATTGTATTTAACATTAAAAATATTTTTATATTTGTATAATTTTTATACAGTGTTCTTCTATTAGTATTATAATGCACTAGTAGAAGTATTTTTGTCATTTTTTTTATTTATACTTACGTTTTGATATAATATTAATATTCAAAGATCAACAAGTAAAAAAACTAAATGTGACACGCACAAATATAGTATATTTTTAGCGAAAATTTTTCTTTGAAATAAAGAACAAATAAATCCGATTCTTGTGCAAGTTAGAAAAGAGGATAACAACTTCTATGGGCATAAAGCAAAGTTACATCTCTTCACCTTGATTTAAATGTTTCTTATTATTATTATTATTATTATTATTATTTAAATTTTAATAATATTTGATATGTTGTTTGTAGTTGGGATCAATGCGGTGTTCATGCAAACATACATCGGCGGCGTTTCATGCCCTCTCATATGCGGCAAGAAATGGCTCAACCACGGCGTCCTATTAGTGGGATACGGGTCGAGAGGGTTCTCCATCTTGAGACTCGGACACACGCCGTATTGGATCATCAAGAACTCGTGGGGGAACAAATGGGGCGAGGGCGGGTACTACAAGTTGTGTCGGGGCCATGACATGTGTGGGATGAACACGATGGTGTCGGCCGTCGCGACAAAGACATACTAGGTAAGAATATATAATTGAAATAGCCCTTTGTTTAGCTAATTTGTATTGAGATCTTAGACATATTGTATTGTAATAAAAAGCTTCAGTGTGAAATAGTTGCGCCTTGATAAATTTTGCTTATGTAGTTCAATATTTTCTGATCCTTTGATAAATTTTGTTTATGTAGTTCAATATTTTCTGATCCTTTGAAATATAGTGGAAATTTGCTATCAGGAAATTTTATATACGAAATTATTTTTAAATAGGATTTATTTAGAATTAACATTTTGAAAAAAAAAAATATTTATTATTATAAAATAATAATTAGATACAAGATTAAAAAATAATTTATCTTATTATTATAAAATAATAATTGGAGTTTATTTTTACCGGACTTTATTATTAATTATTCTATTTTTTTTAATAAAAATATAATTTTTTAATAAAATATTGCGTTAAAGAATTATTTATATAAAAAAAATAAAAATAGACCTTGTAAAGTATGTAGAAATATTTTTATAATATAAAAATAATTATTGATTTGTTTAGAAAATGAATAGAGCATATATATTAATTATGTGAATATATATAGTATCTTTTTATAGTATTAATTAGAAATTCCGTCACAAAAAATGATATTTAGGGGGTTTATTAGTTATTGAAAATTGTATAATTTGAAAGTGAACAAACTCAATTTAAAAAGAAAAAATTTTAAAAATATATATTTTCAAACAAATAATTAAAATAATAAGAAATGTGGCTTACGAAAATCAAAAAATTTAATTTTGTAGTATAGGAAATTTGGGTACATAGGCAATGATGTTTGGACCAACAATCATCATTTCAATAAGCTTTATTTAAGTGCATTTTTCCTTTCATTATTATTGTTTCTGGCTTTATTTTTATTATTTATTTTATTTTATTTAGTTATATTTTATATTTTATATTTTATTTTTTATTTATTTTTTGACGTGGAAACATGCAGCCGCTACCCGAACATGCGCACTGGAAAACTCCTGGCCAAATATAATATTCTGCAAACTAAGCTTAACAGATATTTTTATTTTAATTTATTCATATGAAACGTAAGGGTTTATTTGCTTTGGGAAAAAAAATTACCATATTTTTCTAAAAAAAATTAAAATAATAACACAAAATAAGTCCAAATAAGAAGTAACAAAAAATCCCTACTACTAACTAATCTCTATGGGTTTATTTGCTTTTCATATAAAATTGGGAGTTTTTGGATTAAATATTATTTTGATATTATATATTCTAAAAAATTAATACTATTTTTATTTTGAATTATCCAATTATAAATTAATTATTTTATATTTTTTTTTTACAAATATCTATAATTTATTATTATATTATTATTTTTATAAAAAAATAAGAGCAAAATTATATTTATATTATTTTTTATTATCCACTAAAATACTATTATTTTTTAAATTTGCGCAAAAAAAATTTAAGTGTATACTTTTAGGTGAACTGATCAATTATATTTTTATTAAAAATCGTAAATACTTGAGTGTTATTTGATTTTGAAATCAAAACCAAAATATTTTATACAAATAACATTTAATTGGATCCAATCAAACAAGAAAAAAAAAATTGCACAAAATCTACGTATGATTTTATGAAATTGTGTCAAATTTTTCATACTTCTAAAATTGCATCAAGTTTCCTCATGATTTTATAAATTCTAGTTCTAACCCCCTCGACCGTTCTTATTTAGCGATGTTTGACATGTATGTGCCCAAATTACAAATGAGTTTCAGAATCTCCATTTCAAAATCCTTAAATTACAAGTATAATCATTCTTCTTATATTTAGCTTCAAAAATATTAAATATACTCAAAAATAGTTATTTTCCTATGTTTTAATTTTTTTTACTATTTATTGAGGCTAATTATAAGATGAATGAATATATTTGTAATTTGAGCCGTCTAGAAATAGAAATTCTGAAACTTATTCGCAATTTAGGGGCGTGTAGATCGAACACCGTTAAATAAAAACGGCTGATGAAATTAAAAATAAAGTTTATGAAACCACGAGAGTGACTATGTAATTTTAGAAGTACGAAGGATTTAGCGCAATTTTGTCAAATCATAAATGAATTTTGTACAGTATTGCCAAAAATGAAATTCATTGGATGGCTTCGCAGCCTAGAGGCTCTGACTTTATCTTTGTCTTCGAGCCTCCTCCCTCGAAGCTTCATTTTCTGGAGCAAAATCCGATCCTTTGAAGCATCATCTTTTGAAACCTTATTGTTTAGCAAATTGTTTGGACACATGTCCAACAGGTGCCGATCATAATATTTTTATATATATATAAAAAGACAAAAGATATGACAATATATAACACATATTTTTATATTACATTATATAATTATATATAGCACAATATATTATAATATTAGCACACAATAAGTACATCATACAACACAGTATAAAATATAATCTACAAAAACACATTATTCTATATCATACAACTTTGTGTTGTGTTGTATACAAAATCATCGCCGTTTTATTTGAACCAGACAACATGGTAACCGTCGCCCAATATATGTATGCATGTCTAAAAATTTGAAGTTATTTTAGCAAACCTTGAATATATGTTAATCATATGATGTCACAAAAATTTAACAAGTAGACTATATTTTTATTTTTTCCGTACATTTATTTATTAATATATATATATATATATATAAATACTTATTCGTGGTGCTAGGTTGGACATGGTCCAAGAACTTTTCGAACTTATTTTTTTTTTAGTTCAAGCATAATTTTTTTGTTCAAACCCTAATTTAATTAAATGTACAATTTACATTCACATTGTACTTAATCAATAATTTTAACAAATAATCTACTCCCAAAATTTGAGGTTGGATTCAACATTACAAACTAAAAGAAAAAACGACACTTGGCATTCATTGCTGCATTAAAGATCCATAATTATCTCCACATTCTTCTCCTTTCAAACCAATTAACTGCATTTATTACCCACATTAATTACCAATCATCACCCCAAACATCGTACTCCCCGAAAATGGGCGACAGCCGCAAATCCCAGTCAGCGATCCAGGCCCTGTCGGCGATCCTCCCCGCCGCCGCCGGCGCTTCCTCCGCAGCCGCCCTCCTCCACGACGCCGCCGTCGCAAAGGAGGTCTCCGCCCACCTCCGCCGCGCCGACTCCGGCGCCGTCAACGACAACCTCTGCGCGTGGCTTTACGACACGTTCCACTCCTCCGACCACGACCTCCAGCTCGTCGTCCTCCGCTTCCTCCCCGCCGTCGCCGGCGTTTACCTCTCACGCGCCGCCGCCGCCCTCAACAAGCCACTCGCCGGCTTCGAGTCCGTCCTTCTCGCCGTCTACGCGCACGTGACCGCCGCCCGCAACGGGCAGCCCGTCACCGCCGCGATCCCCGACCTCGCCCAGCCGAGCGTCTACCACGATGGCGGCGGTGCCGCGGCGAAGACGCTTCCGCAGAAATCCCCGGCCGCCGCGTCGGAGCCACAATTGGGGGTGATATCGGCGAGCCTTGAGCCGCACGGGACGGTGAGATCCACGCGCCGCGCGAGGATCGTGGGCGTGGGATTGGAACTGTATTACAGCAGAATTGCGCAGATTCCACTTGGATCCAAAATTGAGTTCTGCCATTTCTGCAAAATCTGGTCCGCCTGGGTATTATTACAATTTCAATTTTATTATATATATATATATTGATGTTATTTTTTTATTTAAAATATTTTAAAGGTCTTATAGATTAAATAAAAAAGAATAAAATTATTTTAAAAAGATATTTCAAAAGTAATTAAGAATACAATTAAATATATAAATTTCCATTATCTAAAAAAACTGTGAAAGAAAAATAAATATAGCGACATAGCGAGAGTATTTAAAAAAATTATTGTATGATGTATGTTTGAATATTAATTATTATATTAACTCGTAATAAAAATTTAAAAAAATTTGCAAAATTTTTTTTATTAATGTGATAAATTTGATTGAACTTGATACCATGCAAAATTATTAAATTGGTTATTATTTGTTATCAAATTATTAGTTATATTTCAAATTAAATTAATTATTATTTGTTATTAAAATACTGTTTATTATTTTATATAAAATTTAATAAACAATATATCTTAATGATAATTTGTGTAATTTTACTTCAAGGGTGTCGTATTGTATTTGTAGGTTTTGATTTTGTTGTATATTTTGGTAAAATGATGTTTGCTATGTTTGATATACTTCAAGGGTATCCCTATGAAGGTTTTACTATTTTATTTTATTTTTTAAAAAATATTATATCAAACATCTAATTTTAATTTACACTCATTCAATATATATTTATATCATATTAGATAACTATTTTAATTCAAAATTTTTATTATTAAAAACTAATACTCAAAATCATAATCCCACAAATAAACACCCAAATTGTTTTTATAACAAGAAATGTATATTCTTTAACTCGTTCTTACATTTCTATACAGGTCGGGTCAGAATCTTAACATTGACAGTGATCTTGACAAGCACGATAGAAAAGAGGGTAAGTTAGGAGGGCGAATCAATCTGCCATGGGAGTTATTGCAACCGATTTTAAGAATTCTAGGACATTGTTTGATGGGGCCAGAAAAGAACGAGGAACTTCTCGAAGCGGCGTTCAAGGCATGCCAATGTCTGAATTCGAGAGCTCTACACGACTTAAATGCCAAGGCAGTTATGGCCACCGCGAGCCTTGTGAAGCTCGCAGAAATTATGAGGTATGGAGAGGCCGATCGAAGTGAGATAGACACGAGTAATGTAATGACGGTCTAAATTTAAATTTTAAAGTTTGTACGTATAGTCCAATGATAAAAATGGATCGCTAGTGTCAAAAATTTTGTAATTTGAACCCTTTTAAGATTTAAATAATACTTTATCTTTTTAAATTTCAACCGGCGTAATAATTTATAAATCACGTCGGTATGGTAAATTGCATTGTAGATAAGTCTTGTACGACAGACTCGATTGAAAATGCGTCGACCTAGAGATGCTTGGCTTGGCTTTATAGCTTTAATACTATTATAATTTATTGACTTTTTTGTTTAAGTTATAAATAATAGCTCTAAGGTCTCATTTTTACGTGTTGATATTTGAATATTAATTATTATATCGAAACATAATACAAATTAAGAAAAAGTACAAAAATACTCGTGTCTTATAATATTAATAGAAAGACATTTGTACAAAAAAAAATATTATACAAATATAAAAATATTTTTAATGTTAAATACAATATTGAAAATGTGACTCTAAAGGCGAACCTAAAGTGGACACATTAATATAAATGTTGAATATTTAGAAAATAAAATTGAAGTATTTTAAAAAAATTAATAAAAAAAAATAGTTGGGTGAGTAGAAAATATAGTAATAAATTAGTTATTATACAAGAGTAATAAAATTGTATATAAATGATATTATTTACTATAAATGGATTATACATAAATTTAACCCACAATTAAAAAAACAAAAGATAAGAGTATATACATTGATATGCTAATTATAAAATTATTTTTAAATATAAAAAAAAAAATAAAATACATATTTGATATTTTTGTTAAAAAAACATTAAAATAATAAAAACTCATAAACATCCTTTAACCAAACACAACTTTTGGTATGTTGGCAAAATTCGAATCTATTTGATAATCCAAAATTTTTGAAAAAATCAATCTGAATCAAACTGAAATAATCGAAATTCGAAATCCAAAAATTCAAAATTTGAAAAAAAAAAACCCGAACCAAACCGAAAGATCCTTAATTTTAAATATTTTTAATTCTTTTTTAATTTGTAATTTTCTTTTATATTTTATTATTATTTCGTAATATTAAATATATATAATATAAAAGTAAATATATTAAAATATAATTAATAATTTTGAGTTTTTTTATATTAAAATATAATATTTTCTAATAAAATAAATATATATAATAAATAAATATATTAAAATCTTATATTTCGGATTTCGGATTGGTTCGAATTTTAAGTATACTGATTCGATCCGATTCAAAAATTCGAAATTTGTCAAAATTTGGTTCGGATTTTTCGGATTTTCGGATTTCGGATATTTTGCTCACCCCTACTTTATTCAACCAAAAATTAGTTTATTTTTTTATATAAAATATTTTAGGAAAAAAATCATTTTTGGTCCCAATATAAAAATTTTATCCATTTTGGTCTCAATATAACCAAAACATATCATTTTTTTATCCTAATATAACCAAAACTTATTATTTTTGTCCCAATATAAAATTTTTTTTATCAATTTTAGTCTTAATATAACAAAAATTCATTATTTTTTGTCTCAATATAATCAAACCTTATCTTTTTTCTGTATCATCGTCAACAAACCGACGAACAATGCTGACGTGAAAATATTTGAAGAAATTGCACAATTTTGCAAGTCCACGTCAGCATTTTCGTCGGTTTGTTGACGGTGGGATAAAAAAATTAGATTTGATTATATTGAGACCAAAAAATGATGAATTTTGGTTATATTGAGATTAAAATTGATAAAAAATTTATATCAGAGTTTGGAGAAAAAAAATTATAAATTTTGATTATATTGAAATTAAATTTTTTATATTATAACAAAAAATATGAGTTTTAGTCATATCGAGAAAAAATAATTTTATCCCAATATTTTAATAGTTCTTTAAATAATTAAAAATAATTTTTTTTAATAAAAGACGCTGCAACAAAAACAGAAATCACAAACAGTGAGGTTGAGGTTGAGGTCGACTGAAGGGACGAAGAAGAAGAAGAAGGAAATGTCAGTTGTACAATTCTCTCAACCATTTCAGTACACTTGGTTGACGAATTTAAGCTCTCCATATCTTCCGCCGCAGCTTTACGCGTTTCCGACGAGCCTCAGACACCGTCGACGCCGCATTGTGCAGCACAGAGCTTCCGTTGGGCTCCGTTGTCCCTCAGCCATGGCGATTGATGATGGCGCCACTTCTTCCTCTTCTGCGCTTCTGGTTCCTCCTATCTCTGATGCTTGTGTCTTCAATTCTTATTTTAATCACGAGCTCGTCGATTGGATGGATGTTTACTGTTGTTAATGAGTTGGTTAGGCTATGGATATGCTTGGGTAAGTAAGTGTGATGATGCGAGTGTATGAAGTGTATTATCTATTGTAGAGTATTCGAATTGATCATCCCAATTTGGCACAACTTTTTTGTTGCATGAAATCGCTGTTCAAGGAGTGATAGTGAGATGAAAAATTTAATGGATTTTGAGTGGATTAATAACACTAAGTTTGAAGAAGTGGTTTTTTTGGATCTGGCTAAATAATTACTCTTTCAGCCCTCTTAATTGAATTGCAATTACAACAGAGAGTTGTATATAGCTCTCGAAAAGGAGTCTATAGATGCTTCTTACATAACATCCTTTATTGCTATGATAAGAAGATTGGCAAAATTATATTAAAGAAAACACATTGAATGCTGAAATTACATACTGAATTTCTGGTAGCGGGTCTATAATTCAGCTAATGTTTTTCACTGTCCCTGAATCATACCTGTAATAACTACTTAGTTAAGTCTGATGCAATTTTGTTTTGGGGCACCTTATTTTTCAGAAGCCACATTAGGAACTAAGTGTGATTGCTGCTGTGATCCACTTTTCGGGAGGTCACCGGTTAGAACTTGAGAGTTAAGTGTGTTTACTATGTTGCGTTTTTTTTAGGCCACTTTAAAAAACTGTAGAGTTTACCAAGAAACAAAGTCCATGCTATTCAGGATGAGTGGCCCTTAGGAAGGTTGCTAAGGAACATGCTGAGTGAGGACAAAGTTGTTGAAAGGACTTGTAACCCTCCTAGCTTGGTTAAAGATGGTTGATTTGTAGGGTCATAATTATACTGGGGTTCAATGGAGAGAATGTTTAATAGTAATCTTAGAATGTGGTATTCCCTCTAGAATATGATATGATATATAGTTTAGAATTTGATTATGTTTGTTAACCAAAATCAAGGTGTGATTATATTCTATAAGGGGAATGCTGCTGTATCAATCTCAATGGGAAGAGACAATGCTTTTATCTACTAATACGCGAACACAGTGGAAATATGATCAGTGCTCTCCCAGTTTTTCTTTCACTGTTTTGAGAATGTCCTAAAAGTAATGATGATCCTTTTGCTTATTAATTAAAGAAAATTCTCGCAGCATGGACTGAGAGAGAAATAAGTGGAGTTGAATCATTTAGTTGTATGTAGGACAATAATATTTGGAAAGCCTTAATTTGATAAAATTTAGGCCCCATAGCTGTTGAGGAGCATATGCCCTCGTTGAAGTTCTATTCCATCTTGATATGACAAGAAATGTGTGAATTTTGTGTTGTACGTATAAATGTTTTTGATAAATATGCAGCATTTAATGTAAGGGTTTCACATTTGAAGGTTTTTTATTTTTTTTACATCTCAAGACCAAATAATGTTTAGAATAAAGCAAAATATTTAGTGTGTCCAGACAGCTTTTGATAAGGAAAGTTTGGTGTCGATTGCAGTTCTTTCTACTACTCAACTGCTACTTCTGACCTTTTATGCCTTTTCAGGATGATGGAATTCTGTATTCTCGAGCATTTTGGGTTAGCCAAGAAATAATTGTTTGGGATGTGGCTGCTGGAGATGGTTCTTGTTATCTCTATGGCAGCAAAAATGCTAAACTATCTCTAGAAAATGGGGAGGTCAAAGGTCTTTTAATTGACAATCTTCCTAAAGATGCTTATCTGGTTTCGAACAAGAAAAAAGAATATATATTTCCTTTTCTTGAAACAGGCTATGATGTAGAAGTTAGGCTCGAAGAAAGTAAAGAAAGGCTTCCCAAACATGTAAGATACTTGTCTGATGGATAACTTATGTTGTATTTGTCAAGTATACAATTCAACTCCTATCTTTAATGACTTCTTTGTTACCTTAGGTGATACAGAAATTTCCTTATATTCAAGATTTACGATCCTTCCAAGTTCCTTCTGCCATGGATGTCAAATCTTTATTGAAGTCTCAGATGGCTATTGCTATTTTAAACTGTAAGTGCAATAGCTTTAGCTGCCTATTCGAAATGTTAAAAGTGTGCCATTAATATTGCATAACATATTCCTTATGTTTGTCATTTTCTCACAACTTTTGAAATCTTTTGGTACAATCGTACCTTGAGTTGACTTTAGTGAACTGGATTGCAAAAAATATATGGTTTAAGAAAATCAAATGAGTACATGAGCTGTTTGAATTCTCATCTGTTTTCTTTTTCTCGCCATTTTCGTTATGTCTTGTTGAAAGACCACATCAAATAGAAGTTTAAGCTGATGCAGAGATATGTTATTATATGTATTAATGGTTATTATTATATTATATTATATTTAATTCATCCAAGATATCTATTCGTTATAAATCTTGATTGCCTAGACTTGCATGATCGATTTGTTACAATATGCAGCTGCCGGAGAATGCACCAACATTGCTGGTCTGCAGTTACCCGGTATCATGGATGAATTATTTTCTTACAATGGTCCTCTAGGTGTGATTTTTTCATCTGAAGCTGTTTCTCTGTACCTTTGGGCACCTACAGCACAGGTGAATACTTTTTTTCTTATCTTGTTATTTACATATCCTACATTCAGCTGAGTATTTTTGGGCTATTAAACTTCGATTGGGTGTCTGTCACTATAATTTTGGGTGTACACAGAATGTACGCGCTTTAATTTATAAAGAACCTCAAGGCAGTGATCCTTATGAGGTTGTCCAGCTCAAGGAGTTGAATGGTGTTTGGAGTGCAAAAGGTCCTATTACATGGGAGGGCAGCTACTATGTCTATGAAGTCTCTGTTTACCATCCCAGCACAATGCGGATTGAAAAATGTTTTGCAAATGATCCATATGCACGAGGGTACATTGATCATTTTATCTACACATAACTGCTCAATGCTACCACATGACTTTCTTTTCAAAGCATAAATTTTATTGTCCGAGTAGGATTTCAGCCGATGGCCGACGAACCCTTATTGTTAATGTTGATTCTGAGATTTCGAAACCAGAAGCTTGGGATAGTTTGGTACATGAAAAGCCAAGTCTCGGTTCCTTTTCTGACATAAGTATATATGAATTGCATGTGAGGGATTTCAGGTAAGTACCTTCGGGCATGTGATACATAATGCTTCCAATCTATTCATTTAATAATATAAATGAATTACTAAAAAAATCTAGCATTGCACTCGAGAACTTAATTGTATGGACTACCTATGTTTACATTAATTCAGTTCTTTTTTGCCAGCGCCATTGATGATACAGTGCCCTCCGACTTTCGCGGAGGCTACCTTGCATTTACTTCTGTGGTAATCTTTGTGATTGGTCCCTTGTATTGTTGGTTCATATCTTTTGCCAGCATCTTATGGTAATTTTCAATTAATTTATTCAATATCACATTGTAATATAATTAGCCATTCTTTTCAGTTTTCACCATCAATTTCAGTTACATAGAGGGTTAATCTTTTCCATGGGAAAGTGAAATTTGAACTGCAAGTTTATCTGCCCCACAATTCAATTTTTAAAATGGCATACTTTAAAAGTAGAAATAGAATGTTTTTGTGGACGTTTTAGAATTTCAGTTGTTATCAATAGAGCTTTTGTTTACTTGTAGGACTCAGCTGGAATGCTTCATCTTAAAAGGTTATCTAGTGCTGGTATCTCACATATTCATCTACTGCCAGTCTTCCATTTTGCTGGTGTTGATGATGAGAAGGTTAAATGGAAGAATATAGGTATGAAATAAATATTCTTTATGCATTATTTTCTCTACAGTGTTTCACTAATTTTAATTAAACTAAGCTTCATCATTGTTTTCCTTATACTCTTTAAGTTCATGATTTTAAGGGAATTGTTTTTTAGTATTAAAAACGCAGCTGCTGGTGCTTAAAACATAAGAATGACTGAGCTTTTCTGTTCTCCTGGTTTCCTTTTTGTATTTTCTTTTCCAGTCTTCTTTTTTCTGTTTTTGGAATTAATGATTTGTGTACTTGATTAAAATTTATGTATGTGAAACATAAGATGTTTAATGAGAAAATGGGCAAGTCCAAGGGATGGATGCAATGGCAACTCTGAAATTCTATGGAAGAGTCTCGAGAGTCAGGATGCATGCTAGTTTTATACCACCAGGTTACTTGGCACAATATAATCCTGAAAAATTTCTCAACTTTGTAGTTTATTGTTTATGTGCTAGAGTGGCATAATGCAAGGTTACACTTGAACAGCTGGTTTTTTTTGGACTGTTTTAGTTATCATTTTATGTGATACCTACCATATCACTCGTTTTTCTTTTGAATGAGATAAATCCTTAAAACAGATTTTCAGATGCTTGAATCATATCCTCCAGACTCTGATGAACAGCAGGCTCATATAACTGCCATCCAGAATGAAGATGGTTATAACTGGGGGTGAGATACTTTCTCTTGTAGTCGAACTCTTGAATAACACTATTGTTTACTTTGCCAACTAATTTAATTTTTTTTTTTTAACTTTCTTTTGAAATTGTGTCTGGAAAGTTATAACCCTGTTCTTTGGGGTGTCCCAAAAGGAAGCTATGCTAGCAATGCTGATGGCTCAACCCGCATATTAGAGTTCCGCAAAATGGTGCAGGTGTGTGCATATTTGTTGACCTTTTGTGTGTGTGTGTGGGGGGGGGGGGGGGGGGGGGGGGAGGGGGGACGCTTTTGATTGTGATCCTTTGGAAAGATTGTAGTTTTAGCTCTAGAAGTGTATGCTTCTATTTCTATTACAGATAGTTAGCAAATTACAATGATCACCCATGGTGTTAAATGAATTGTGTCTTGCATGACATTTTCTATTAATCTTAACAACTTTGCAAATTATGGAACTAAAATTATCAAAATTTTACTCATCATGGCAACTAACTTTAAATTCTGAGAGACAATTAATTGTTGATAAATTGTGGACTAACTAGAAATAGTCACATTTGTGGCACTGAAAGTGCAATTGTCTAATAATTTCTGTACTGGCAGGCGCTAAATCAGATTGGTCTTCGCGTTGTACTGGATGTTGTCTACAATCACTTACATGCAAGTGGTCCCTATGATGAGAACTCTGTCTTAGACAAGGTCATACAACACATTTGGTTTGACTATTTTTTTTGGGTTTGTTTGTGTTTTGGGGTTGTTTTATAAATAGTAATAATTTGAAGTGAAAATAGGTTTTGGATGTGATCCTTTTACAATAAAATAGGTGTTTGATTAGAAAATAGGTTTTGGATGCTATGTTTTAAGGGGAAAAATAGGTATTGGATTAATATTTTTAGTGTGGAAACAATTTTGACAACATAATGAAGCACACCCAATAATTTTCTATTGTCCTATCCTTAGAAAGGAAACATCTATTGTATTTGTTAAATTCAACAGGGCTAAAGAATGAATAATGTGGCTTAACTTTTATTAAGAAGGGAATATGATGTGGGGATGCATACAGAATGAATAATCTATTCTATAGTTCAGTGTGTCCGTTATGAAAAAACGGCTTTGGTAACTCTTAGCTCTAAAGATCAAGCTTTAGGGCTCAACCATGACACTAAATTTTATAGTGCAATGCTTGGTGGCACCGTGGCATGCCATTGATGCTTCATTCATGGTCTTTACTATGAAATAATTGCAGATTGTACCAGGTTATTACCTCAGGAGGAACCTTGATGGCTTAATCGAACACAGTACCTGCATAAACAATACAGCCAGTGAGCACTATATGGTTGAACGGTTGATTATTGATGATCTATTGCACTGGGCTATCAATTATAAGGTTTTCCTTTTTCTTTTCTGCTTTACTTATTTATTTTTATTCCTTCCTGTTTACTGTTTCCCCGGGCAACTCACATAATCCCTGGGACAAGTTGAGATGCTGAGTCACTGCAACAATTAGGCCGGGCCTTCTGCTAGATCAAGTTCCTAAGGCCTTAGTGTCCAGTAGGTTACACACAAAATAATCAAATACTTCTCAGCTAAGTTTATAGCACATTCCACACACAGTTTATTAGAAGATTAATTAATTGTGATTTAGAGTTGCTAGCTTCCTTCGGTCACTTTTACTAATGAGATCTAAATGATGTAATTCTTAGTTGGTGATTGACCCTAATGCTTATTCGATGTGACCAAAGTTGGATCGTTTTTCAATGTATAGAATTTCAAATCCTACTAGGATTTAGCTTTGGCATTCAAATGGAATCGATGCAAATATAACTTAGACTTTTTCTGCTCTTTTCTTTTTCTTTTTCGTAGTTGGGGGGGGGGGGGGGATTATGTATTTCGTCTTGTTACTGTACTAATCATTCTCATTAATGGCAGGTTGATGGATTCCGTTTTGACCTCATGGGTCACATAATGAAACGTACAATGGTATAAGTTTTAATGTATCATATAGTTTCTCTGCTCTAGATTTGTATCTGAGCATTTATTCCATGTTGAAAAATTTTCAAATTCATATTATTTTCTAGGATTACTGGGATTTGGACTATATTGCCAAGGGGCTGAAATAATTTCTGATAACCTTATAGCTGATTGGATATACAATGGTGAAAATTGTTTGCAAGAGAAAATAAGCTTATACCTGCCATGATTTTTCCGAATTTCCAGATGGAGGAATTTCGAAAATGGGATAATGGTGTGCTTTTTTTTTTTTTTTTTTTTTTTCTCTTTTACAAGATGCTTTTTAAACAAAGTAACCTTTCTTAACTCCCTCAATAGTTGGTATGCAGAACTGTTTGATTCACACAAATACTGAGCTAGTTCTTTCTATAATTTTCATACTTTTGCAGCTGTAAGTATATGAATTTCTGGTTTGCATAGTGCAGGTAAAGGCTAAAAAGATGCTTCAGAATTTATCAAGACAAAATAATGGAGTAGATGGATCTACCATCTATATGTATGTGGTTTACTGATAATTGTTCTCTGCACCTTTTCTGCTTTCTAAATGCATTATATATAGTTAGGTATGCCTTCTTACAATTGGTTGTTTATATATATATATATATAGATATACTTCCTTCGTCCCAAACAAGGTGCTAAATTTAAGTTGGGCGTAGGATTTTCGGTGAGAAGTATTAAGTAGGATAATTGAGTAATTAGGTGATGTGATGGAGAGAGAAGTATATATTTTATTTTTTTATTAGGGTGATGTGATGGGATAAAGTGTGGGGATATAGATTAAGAATAATTAATTATTTTCTAATTTAGAAATGTTGCAGGGTGTTTGGGACATACCCAAAAGGAAATGTTGCACGGTGTTTGGGACGGAGGGAGTACATGTTTTTTTTTTATCTTTTTGTGATTAATTTTACCATTTTCATTTCCAGATATGGTGAAGGATGGGACTTTGGAGAAGTGGCGAATAATGCACGTGGTGTAAATGCATCACAGTTCAACCTTTCTGGAACTGGAATTGGAAGGTACTGCTAACCCCTCCCAACCTTCAAAGGTTCATTGTTACTCTCTCTGCCTCAAGCCTACCGGCTAATTCAAATTCTGGATAGTACTAAAACAGTAACCTAATACTTACCAACTCTAGGGCAGTTCTGAAACCTTATAGGCCTTAACCCTAATTGCCTCACCCTAATATTATTTTTGTCTAGCAATTATTTAACATGTTAGGGTGATTATTCTTTTCATTTTATATATAGCAAAGTTACTTCCTACATAAACTTTACCTTTTATGAAGAGTGACATAGAAATGAAGTGATAGCATATTCTACGGCACATAGACACTAGGAACTCTAAATTTATGTATATTGACCAAAGTAATATTTGCTGATGAATGAATGATCATCAGTTTATAATTTGAAAAATGGACTATCTTCAATAGTCTTGATGGATTGAATCGTGCATTCAGCTTCAATGATCGGATTAGAGATGCAGTGCTTGGTGGATCTCCATTTGGACATCCGCTTCAACAAGGTTTTGTAACAGGTTTGTCTTTGGAGGTAATCTTTATTTTACAATTGTTTATATTCATTAACTTCGTGTGTGAGCAGCACCAATTTCTTTCATCCCTTAGTCATCAGCAATTGCTTTTTCACTGGAGTTCAAATTGAATAAGTTTTGCTGTATGTGCATTTTTAACATCTCTTTTCGCTGCCACTTCTTCAGCCCAATGGACATGACCACGGAAGCAAGGCTAATGTAGACAGGACACTTGGTGTATTAAGGGATCACATTCAGGTACTTGAATAAATGACTGTGTTATGTAGGGAACTACATAATGTAGCTTTTTTCATGGCATATGAGATCTTGATGCTCTTTTAACGAGCCATACATTATAGGTAACAAATGCAATATGTTCTATCTTTCAGAAAGCACTTTTGGCATTTACAAATGCACACATCTGCCTTTTAACCATTTTTAAAAGAACTGCTTTGAACTAGTAGTGTGAAACATCTCAATGAAGCTTCCAGTAAGCCTATTATTCTTTTTTATTCTTGAAAATAAATATCCCTACTGAAAATAATGCATTTTTATTTCTACCCCTAAAACAACATTAGAATTTATTTATTTAACAATCAAGATTATATGTATTCGTTAATTTAGTAATTATGATATTACTTTTTCCCAAGACCCACAATGATCCTTTTTCCTTTTTTTTATTACTTTTTTATTGATTGTAAGTTTGTAACTTTATTTTTGAACATTACAGTTAATACCTATGATTCTAGTTTTAGTTTTAATTAGTTTTTTTATTTATTTTGTAAATGAAGTAACAAATTGCAGGTGTAATATGGGAATGTAACTTTAAAATGTTTCAACACCTGATTATGCTGAAAAGGATAGGAACACAGATCTCTGTATGTAATCCACTACATTGTAGCTCATATCTTTGTAATTTTACATCAACAGCATAAAACAATATTTTAAACATGTTCACTCATAGTAAACATAACCATGTTAAGATCTTATATAATTATACTTCTATACTTGTTTCTTTATGATACACGACCTACAGGAGTTTGTTTGTGCCGCTCTACGGGTTTCTGCTAAGGTCTCTAGAGATTAATGCATTGCATGATAGGCTTCTACTTACACATCTGCTGCTTCATCAGTTCTCGTATGAACTCTTTATGGTTCTCTGTTGTGTGACTGTTGACAGATTGGGATGGCTGCTAACCTCAAGGATTTCATTCTCACCAACCATGACGGCAAAGAGGTAACAATACCATGCCATTGCCATTAACTTTGTTCTTATACACAAATTTTTTATTAGTTAATTTTCAAAAAATTGCAACCCAATCTCTTGGTTTGGGTATATATTACCTGTTAAGAAGGGATTCGTGGTTCATGACAAGTGGGGTAGCCCTTCAACTGTATAAACTAGGGAAGTTTCCTAACATTTTACAATCTGGGATACACTCAACACTCCACCTCGAGATGATACCATCTCGAAATTCTAACCAGGATCATACCCAATCGGTGATAAGTGGAATTCCCTTTACCTTAGAAGCAAGAGGAGATCCCAACATTTTAACAATGTGGAATATACTCAACACTCCCTCTCAGGATAAAATCATTTGGAAATCCTCACCAAGATCGATATGGTTCTGTTTCCATGACCCGAACCCGGGTCTTTCGGGTGGGAGCCATATATCCTGACCATCTGGATCCCATCTTAATATGGTTTCAGAGCCATGGGTACCCATATTAGATGGATATTGATCTTGATTAGAATTTTGAGATAATTTCATTTCAAAGGGGAGTGTTAAGTATATTCCACATTAGAAAAATATTGGTGGGATCTCCTTTTGTTTATAAGGGTGAATGGCAACTCCACCAATCACCGATTGATTTTATGTTGGAACCGCGAATCCCTTCTTAACATCACCCATCAAAGGAAAATTGCTCTTGACAAAGTTAATAACAGAAAAGGACCTTCCTTACTTGGAAGTAGTGTCGAATACTTGTAGCTGCTGTGACAACTCCTATTTGATGGATGACACTAACTTGAGTCAATATTTATCTCCCCAAGTAAAGTTTCATAATGAAACTTCTCTAGAAATAGCAGATGAATTTACATTAAGTACATTGTGCGACATATAAGCTTTGGAACGAACAGCGATGATAGTTTAGAAGCACTTTTGCTCATGTTTAACCCTCACTGTATGTCCATCAGTGTTGCATCATTGAAAACACTTAGATAATGTTTTGTCGTTCATTGCATCCAAACAGGTGAAAGGATGTGAAATTTCACTGCATGATGGGAAACCAGTTGCATATGCTTCATCACCTGTCGAGATAGTAAGTATTCTCACTCCTTGTTAGTCACATTATTGTTTGTAGTTAAGATGGAATATCTGAAAATACCAAGCCTTCAATCAGTTTTAAAACTTTCTATTATTTGCGTATGGAAATCCTATCCTACTATTGTTTAATCTTATGGAATTAGGTGAACTATGTTTCTGCTCATGACAACGAGACATTGTTCGACATTGTGAGTCTGAAGGTAACATTGCTATTGTATATTTTGTTTCAGTTTCATTTCATGCTCTGCTAAATCATTGAACACATTACTCTTTCTTCTGTATAGACTCCGGTAAATATCTCTCTGGATGCAAGATGCAGGATGAACCATTTAGCAACAAGCATAATAGCTCTTTCCCAGGTTGGACATTACGTATACATATATATATATTGCAATTTAGGTACCATTGACCAATATTGATTTTTCACAATAGCAACTTTATGCATGCATTTTCTTAAAAACAAATTGGGGATGGTTTAAAAATTCCTGTTTCGGCTTTAATCATGATGCGTTCAGAAGCCTTTTATTGAAAAGGACAAAAATAAAAGAAAAAAAAAGTGCAACATTTTCTAGATCATCTAATCTATAATATCTCCAATTATAAAATATGTTCTAAACATCTTCTACTAAATATTTCTTTCAACTAGTTTTTTCTACCAAGTTAGTATAGGTTAATAATGTTTTCTGAACATAAAGTGTTCTTGGGTTATCTTTCTAGGGAATACCTTTTTTCCATGCTGGTGATGAGATTCTACGCTCTAAATCATTAGATCGCGATTCATATAATTCTGGTGATTGGTTCAACAGGTAACTCAACTTACTTACATTTCAAAAGGTGGTAGTAGTAGCTGGTCTCTTTACATGAAACCCTTGGATGGAAATATTCTTAACCTAGATTGTATATTAACCGAACAAGGTTCCAAGATTAAGTAAAACTACATCTTGTGCAATTCAAGCGTATACATCATATATTATTATTATGTAGTTCTGTTACAGTATTCGTCTCCTTTCTCTATGTACCAATATTGTGTATACCATGTAAATGCCTTAAACAATGTGAAAACTTACTGATTCGATAATATGCCGAAACCATCTCCAGGTTAGATTTCACCTACAACTCTAACAATTGGGGCATTGGCCTTCCTCCAAAAGAAAAGAACAAGCATAATTGGCCACTGTAAGCATCACCATCGAATGTTCTTTTCCATGTAGAGTTGAACTACTTCTACTTTTAGCTAATGGAATAGATGTGCAGAGAAATTCCGTTCATATATATACCTTTATTTTGTATATATGTTCCTTCTAAATTTAATTTATACGATGTAACTTTACTTTCAGAATTAAAACCAGACTGGCAGATCCTGCCTATAAGCCACAGAAGAGTCACATCCTTGCAGCACTAGAGAACTTTTCAAGCTTCATTGGCATCAGATACTCTTCACCACTATTCCGTTTGGGTTCTACGAAAGAAATCCAGGTTATAAGTGATTCCTGCAATTAAATGTTTATCCTTTTTGTGCTTTTTCACTAAAATGCCACACAGATTTTTAGTTCGGAGTACTTTGAAAGAGCGAAAGTGATGGTACTTTGCATTTATATCTGTTGAGCCATTTTGCTCGAATACCGTTGATGGGAATTTTTAAAGTTAAGCTTATATGCAACAAATAGAAAGATTGCATATACTCACTAGTCTTTGAATTTCAATTGTTGGGGTTTAGTGTCCCAACATAATCCATTGGATAATTAAAAATCAACATAAATCTTAAAAATTCTCGCTACAACTTGGGTAAATCACGAATGTTATCCTAGTTTTGAAGTTTTACATTTACTATATATTGGTGTTTCGATATTTTTGGAATCCTATTTGGTTGTGATATATACGTAACTTCATTGTATTCTATTGTTAATTCATCGAAGAAACCTTTATATATTTGAAATTTTTCTTTCTTTATTCTCATATTGTAACACTCTCATTCTTATGCTGCAAACGACGATCTTTCTGAATTGAAAGTCTCTTAATCCAGGAACGCATACAGTTCCACAACAACGGTCCTTCATGGCTCCCGGGCGTGATTGTAATGAGCATCGAAGATGGGTTTGAAGGGATACCTGGACTTCCTCAACTTGATTCCAAGTCGGTAACAACGAAGTTTATTACTCCTTCAGTCTCATATAATTTATCCCTATTTTTTATTTTCGTTCGTCACATTTAATTTATCCTTTTTCTTTTTTGGAAATATGATTAATCACATTTTAAATTTTATATTTATAATTTCTTAATCTTAATTAAATTATTTAGTTATTTTAATCTTAATTTACAATAATTATTTTTACTAATAGACTTCTTAATTACTACTCCCTCCGTCATTAAAAGTATGTCTATTTGATCGAACACGAGTTTTAAGAAAAGTAGGTAAAAATATAAACTTTTTCCTTTTTATGGTAAAGAAAAAGTAAAAAAAGTGATATTCTTTTACTAAAAAAAAAACGGGAATAAGTTTAGATGACAACCAAAAAAAGAAAAATGATAATAAGTTTGCAGGACAAAGGGAGTACTAAGTATACTTACATAAATTCTTGTATTTATAGGAATAAGCCCAAATTATCTAGGACGGAGGGGGTAATTATTTTTGCTTAATGTAGACATCGGCTGGAACTGGAACTAAATCTTATGTGCACATTTCGACATATGGTTTTTTTTGTTAAAATATTTGAAGAAATATATATTTGTGCGTGTGTGGTTTTGATCCTGTTTTGATTGCTTATCTACATTCTCTTTGATTTTCGAACTAATTGTGTCGTCATTGAAAATGCAGCTACTCATACATTGTCGTTATAATCAACATGCGCCCGACTCCTATCGAATTCACCAGCCAACCTTTGAAGGGACGGCGTCTACAACTGCACCCAATCCAGGTTCTTCAAATATCTCTTTTAGTGATCGAAATGTATGTCAGTAAAAAAAATTCATTTTATCTCAACTCTGGTCATATTATCAATCTTCGCAACTTCTTCGCTTTAGAGCTAGCTAGAAATCGAACAATCAGCTCACCGCATGCTTCGTTTCCAGTTGAATTCGACAGATGATGTTGTCAAGGACTCGTCCTACGACTCGCCCTCCGGTTCATTCAAAGTACCTTCGAGGACTACCTCAGTTTTCGTCGAGCCTCGGACCACTTGAGAAACTCCCGGAATTGTTGTCGATTCAGGTGTGCCTTTCTTCGTTTAGCATAAGAAAATCATGATATGATATAAATAAACATCGAATCGATCATTAAGCATGAACTCATACAGCATTTCTAGGAATGAAATTCAGCTTCTGATAGTCTTAAAATGTTGTTCTAAGTGTTTGATATTGTAGAAAAATGTTATTTTTGTCCTATACCATGATAGTATACTATATGTACTATCTCTGTACGGCTTTAAGGACTCATTTACTTTTTGTATGTTAATTTTTTAATATTGATTATTATATCAAAACTTAGTATAAATTAAAAAAAAATGCAAAAATACTTTTATTAATGTCTTATAATACTAATAGAAAGACATTTGTAAAAGAAAAAAATTATGTAAATATAAGGATATTTTTAATGTTAACTATGACAAAATGTAAATGTAATCCTTAAAGACGAAAAAAATGGAGTATTATATTGTACTAAAAATTTTGTATATCGAAAATTCAGAACGGTTGATCATATATATTGTATTAGACTGATAATTCGGTATAGGGAATTGCCCATTTATACCGTTCATACTGAAATAATAAAATTAAAAATAAATTTATAATTTTGGAGAAAAGAAATAATTAGTATCAAAATACCAAATTAACGATATGTATCGTTATCCTAAATATAAAAATATCAAACTGGGTAGACGATATTCTTGGTCTGGTATTTCGGTATACATCGAAAACTTTAGAAATTTCAAAATTATAAAAGTTAGTATATATGATACTATATCGAAATTTGTGGCATATCTAAATTTTTGGTATTATTTTTATCATACCGTAATGAAATTATGTTATTTTGATATGTCTTTTAAAAGTAAAATGCGCCTGTTAGGATATGAAGCCTAATTATATCCTAAAATCTAGGGATATGATTCGGATATTATATTTTAGATTTTAGAGATATGATTTGGATATTATTATAAAAAACTTAGGCTATAAATATCCATGTATTCTCACTTTAACATGTGCCTTGCGTACTTTATAGTAAAATTCCTGGCTTGGTAGCGCCCTCAGACTTAGATCATCGTGATCAAACTGGGTTACCAAATTCTTGTGTTCTTTTATCTTTGTTGTCCCGTTTTGATTTCCTGGAATTTACGTAACAAGTGGTATCAGAGCCTAGTTCGTTGGTAAGGTGGACTGGGAGGCATCGGATATTGATTGTGGCTGTGGGAATCCTTGTGACCTGCGGAGGTGCCTTATGTCGAAAGTCTCCTGACGGTGTTGGGTCGGTCCCGACTGGTAGGTCAGGCAGCGAGTCCCTTTGTGATAGGCGGTGCAAGGTTGGTAGGGAAGGATAAGGGTTTCGGCAAACGCAGCGGAATATCCGATGTGCTCTCATATCAAGTGAACCTTAGGTTTGTTTGTGGGAGTCAAGATGGGTGATCGTCATGTTGTCAAGGTATTCGATGGTATGAACTTCGGTTTCTAAAATATGCATATAGAAGATTAAATGAATGGTAAAGATAGTATTGAAAGAGAAATCCGAAGACATGGATGAAGCCGAATACAAGAAGATCAACAGGAAGACGATGAGTGCGGTTCGACTAACCCTTTGGGAGAATGTCTCGACTAAATTTAGATTTGAGGCAAAAGGAAAGTGTGAAGATCAAGTCAAAGTTGAAGCCGAAGAATAAGGACAAAGAAGATGCAAGTCAGGTGGTATGTTGGAACTGCAAGGGGCACTTGAAACTGTCAGGGCGCCGGAGAAGGATCAGGGTTCAGCAAACGCAACGGAGGAGATATCCGATGCGCTGATTCTGAGCGTCAGCAGTCCAATGAAGTCATGGATTTTGGTCTCAGGAGCGCCATTCCACTCATGCAGTGATTCGGGGTATGTTGAAGTGGAAGATGAAATCAGTCTTCAAGTGGGAGATTGTTGGGATATGAAGCCTGATTATATCCTAAAATCTAGGGATATGATTCGGATATTATATTTTAGATTTTAGAGATATGATTTGAATATTATTATAAAAAACTTAGCTATAAATATCCATGTATTCTCACTTTGACATGTGTCTGCGTACTTTATAGTAAAATTCCTGGTTTGGCAGCGCCCCCAGACGTAGATATCGTGATCGAACTGGGTTACCAAATTCTTGTGTTCTTTTATCTTTGTTGTCCCGTTTTGATTTCCTGGAATTTCCGTAACAGCGCCTTATTTCGATTTTTTTTTTTTCCAAGACCCTAGCTGCAATGGTATTTGTATGTATTGTGTAATATGAAGCTTTTATTTTGAAGGATTGATTTATAATTCGAGTTATTACGAAATTAATTAATATGATATTATTTCATTTTATTAAATACAGAATAACATAAATTTTAGTATATATGTTAATAAGTTAATTGGATAAATTAATTTATCCTATTCATTTAGTTAGTATTAATTATCAGTAATTAGCATATTAGTTCAATATTATTTAATTATAATAAATATGCAATTAAAATAGATAATATAATATCAGATTGGATCAAGTGCCACAATGCTGAACACTTACATTTTAATTTGTATAATTATATTAATTATATTATTTAATAAACTAAATCATGTAATTAGATTTTTAAATGAAACTTTAATTTCTGATCTGTTCTGATATAATATTATTCACTCTAAACACTCAAAAGGAAATAAATCCTATAGAACAAACATCATACTTCATTAGATATTTAAAATATCAAATAAAAAAATAACTTTTGATTTAAAATATTACATTCAATTTTGACATCATTTTTATTCATGTTTTACAACAATTGTAAGTTTCACCAATCATATTTCTTTATCACTGTAGAATTATCTATCGGCATTTCGAGATAAAAACCATCCGATTTTGCGATCCATTGTCTTGTATATTTTTGTTTATCGGGGGGTCCGAGTTCATACTTTCCATTGAACACGTCGAAAGCTTTATTTTTCGATCCCCACCAGAAATGACAAAAATATAAAGTATGCCCAAAGTAATTCTCGCAAAATCGCCATTGAAAAGATTCGTTCACGGCTAGTGTTCTGAATCCTAATTCGTCGGTCTTTGAGGCGCAATGAACCCACACCGAAGCTGGTAGATTATTTAGGACCACAATCGTTTGTTTGTGCCAAAATAGACTACAATGTGCTGCGAACATCTGGTGAATATTAACCTTAGAAAAAAAAATACAAAACAATGTAAGTATTTTTTTTTTTTATCATTAACAAAATAAATTACATATCTTTACATGAATAGTAACCTGTAGAAAAATGAACATTATAAGTATTTTTATCATGGCACAAGCCATTTTGAGGAGTGAAGTAATAATTAGTTGTAATTGTGTATCGACTCTTTGTCAATGTTACGTGAGTCTATATATAAAAGGATGGGAGGGATGAAGATTTAAAAAAGTAATAAATAAAAGCAATTATTCAATTGTATTTAAGATTGGGATATTGATGGGAATTAAATGTTAATTCTAAACGGTTTTCATTAAATTAGTTGTTACAATAAAATAATTTTGTTACTATCTTTTTTATGAATTTATTATTACATTTTTATAATATTTTATTTTTTTTTTTATTCTTTTATGTTTATATTAAATAATTATTATTTTTAAATTTTTATATTCAAATCAAAATAGCATAAATTGAGTATGTATATATATATTTTGATGACGCGAGCCTCTACTGCGGGCACTAGGTACCTCACGCGTCAGAGATTTGAACTCATGATCTCGCTGTCACAAGTCCAACTCCTTCATCATCAGATCATCCCTTATGGGACTATAAATATATTTTTTATGATGGGAAAAATTTGCAACCGCTATCCGAAAGTAGACAGTGAATAAACTATTTGTAGATGAGTAAATTTCGAACTAACCTAATACCATACAAATTATTTGTAGATGAGTGGTGTGGATTTTTCTTTTTTTTTTTTTTTTTTTTTTTGGGAGAAGTTATTTTTTGGGCCCACCATATATATTATTTTATATTATGTAGATAATAATAATTATCATTAATACTCCCATCCGTCCCACATATCATGTGGACATTACCGTTTCTGTCCGTCTCACATCCCATGTCACTTTCTTTTTTTGAAGAATGATTACACATTTTAATCTTATTTTAAATTTTATAATTTATTTTTAAAAAAAAATTAATTAAAGTAATTAGTTATCTTAATCTTAATTTATAATTATTTATATTATAAGATAATTATTTTCATTAATACACTCTTAATTATTTACTAAATATACTTATCATAAATTCCCGTATCTACGGTGACCCAGACATCCAATGTGGGACGGAGAGAGTATTATTTTTATATTTTTTTGTATTTTGTTATTTTATTATATTTTGATATTAATAAATTTTAAATTTAAATAATTAGTTGATATAACATTAATAAATACTCATTTAAAGTTTATGATTTTAGCATTTCAAATCAAAATAAACATTATTTATCATGTAGAATTTTCAATAAAAATTCATTATTTTTTTTTCACAAACATCATATCAAAATACTATTTAAATTAAAACTCAAATCTAACAATCTATCAAATCAATTTTAAACCACAACTAAATAAACACATAGTAATATTTTATATAAAGATATTTTTTATATGATGTATGAGGAAGCTTGTTGGTAACATAAAAAAATATATTTTTTATAATAAAAATAATATTTTGTTTGAATTATTAATCTTTTGTGAGTAAATAAAATATGTATTATATACATTTGTGTGAACGTGTGTATATATCACTCATTCCGTCCAATTTATAAGTATACGTTTACTTTTATGCGGAGTTTAAAAAATAATAGTATTTGTAATGAGTAGTTAAAAGTAATGTAAAAATAGTTTTATCTTTGTTTTTTTGGTATAAAATTAATTATGTAATGATAAAATATGAGTATTTGTTGAAAAAAAAAATGAGATATTTAATTAATTGATTACTTTATAATTGAACAATTTAAATATAAATATGTATGCATTATGAATGGACGGATGAAGTAGAATTTTTTTTTTTGTTAATATTAATTGATAATCATGTCAACAAAATATTATTAGGTGAACACACTATTTTGATATTTTTCCTATATTTTAAAAATAGTAAATTTTGATTTAAAATAAATATTTAATATAATTATATTATTATTTTTAATATTATACTTGAATTAAAATTTAAAATTATAATTGAAACACCAAATTTAAAAATATATATTTTTTTTAATTATACTAAAATTATTCAATATAA